CCCGAGATACCCCGGGTGATTCCTTTAGTGGAGCCCCGACTACACCGGGAACCTTTCAGGCGCGGAGACGCGGTGAAATCCCTCAACGGGAGGGTATTCGCAGGGATTTTTAGTGGATAGTATGTCGTAAGCCGCGCGGGTTACTTAACGGTTTCTCCGTTTCGTACCCGTGAGACTTGCCAAAGGCTAGGGTGTAAGGTCTGTTCGTTGGGCGCCAATGTTTGTAGAATGAGATTTTGCCTGCGTCAACAAAAAAAGGTATATTATTATTAAAAAGTTTAAAAATCTACAAAAAGATTTGGTCACCGATACAATTATTACGAGTGTGCATACCGTGATTGTAACAAACAAATTTATAGTTCTTAAGTTTTTGCATGCAGTGTAATCGATATCACTTGCCAAATTTCATAGTTCTGGATCAACGGTCAGTTGTACCCTATCCATGAGACAGTCGAAATGTATATAGGTACGTTTTTTGCAACATGAAAATGGCCGTAACTTTTTTAAACATTACCTCACTTGAAGTTCGATGACCTGAGTTTAAGGTTTAAATTTCAACGCGATACCTCCGCGCGTTCCTGTATATAAAGGGTCTTGACAGACATACGGTCGGACAACAAAGTGATCCTATATGTGTGTTCATTTTTTTCTTTTTAAGTACGAAACACTAAAAAATAATAACATGAAGAAAGTTGAAACTAGTAAAACCATTATCAATATTATTAAAATCAATTTTGCAAGTTTTATTAAAATAGGAAATTTTGTAGTAATGAGTGTAATTCGTAGTGCTGTTATGGCTTATGTTTTATTTATGTTACAAAACAATCGATAAAACAAACAATCGCTTTTAACATAATAGTTATTTTAGGTTAGGTAATCTTATATCCATCACGAGTCGTCATTACCTGCACGAATGTTAGGCACGGTTTCATTATAAAGTATTTGTTAATTTTAACCGACTTCAAACAAAAAGTAGGAGTTTCTTTACTGTTCTCATGTTCTATATTCATTGTTTATATATATAAGGTTTTCATTTGTGTATGTTCGATGATATTTTCGTGAATTATGTCGATTTTCAAAAAACTATTTTATTTGAACTATTATGCTTCCGAGGTGGTCCCAAATTTACCAAGTTGGGATCTGATGATCCTGGAGAAATCGAGGGAACTCTTTAAAAAAAATATAGGGACATCTTCTAGTCTAGTTACTAGTTTCTGTTTAATTCTCAAAAATATATCTAATGATGAGGAGGAAATTACGGGGGCGGAAGCCAGTATACAATAAAACTTTATTGTGAATCTTATGTGAATAAAACTTTAGTGTGCTTGCGTGATGTATGCTAATGCTCACATCAACTTTCACACTCTTTCGTGTCGTGTACAATAAATGTAAATTCGGAAATATTACCTACATTTATATCTTTTATAAAGTTCATAATGAAATTTAAGTAAACGGGTATCTATCGGTAGACCGCTTAACTGAGTCCTTACCTGCGGAGTAAAAGCACATTCTTGTCAAAATCACAAGTGCCCGCTGGCCGCACCTCTCACGGCCCCCGTACTTGTCCTCCCCCACACCGTGTACCCTGCAGGCGAGGTATCAGTTAGGTGGTTTACCTATAGGTAATCAATAATGTCTGTAAGAATAATTTACCAATACTGGTATTTTTTGTTAGGTACTATAGCTTTGATAGTTTACCTTGCTATATATATATGTGCAAATTTGTTATTGGCTAGTAGTTACCCCTAGTAGATATCATGTATAAATAATAGCTGCAAGTTTTCCGAAGAACTAAAATAAAATATACCTTCTTATTATAATTCCGTTGTTACAAGTCAGCTTTGAAGTTGTCCCTCTAGCTCAATTATTTTTATATGTAAAATACCTGTAGTTTGTTATTACAGTAAAATAAAATGCAAAGCAGGCAAAGTAAATAAGGTAATTTTTTTATAAACTTGACATTTAGCCCAATTATTTAAGTTGACTCTGAAAGAGCAATTTGCTTAAAGCTTAGCTTCGATAAAACCCTGCATAACCTGTACGTGAAAGAGGAAATACGAACCGAGTCGCGGTACGGCTAGCTATTATTTTAATATAATAGACTTGTTAACGTATCGTATAACCGGACTATCACCACAATAAAGCAATTGTAGGGGGTATTGGGTTGTCAATTATACCATCATTATCATTACCAGAAACATTAGCTGGCAGTCCTTCATGGAATGTATCAACCAATAACCACCATGGCATTCGTATATAGCTGCTGTTTTTGGTTTTCATTACGTCTTGGTGGCATCTTAATTGGAATATTCTCAATGGTAAATGCTTAATAGATATCCTAATTAAGAAAGGGTTAATCGTTTATAAGGGTGAAGTTAGGATTGGCAAAGCGCCACCAGTGACTGCACAATAAGCCATCTATCTATAGGCTTTGGCTGCCGGTTATCATAAATCCGGGCCATATTATTGTTGCCACCTTTGTTAGGGTAGTGGCACCAAAACATGAACGACCCCCAATAGATGAACGTTCGACCGAAATTTAAAGATATTAAACAATCTGCCCGCTTACTTTTGTGTAATATTTTTTTATGTAATATGGCAACACTTTTTCTGCTCGATGTCATTAAAATATTAACATTAATGTCAACGACGACGCTCACAGTCGCGCGCCGCGCAAGCTCTTTCCTCCAAAAATCAGTTTTCTATGGAAACCTACTTCAGGTAAGTAGCTTCCACATTTAAGCATAACATCAAATTAAACATATAATTATAGCTTTGTTTTGTTGGTTATAGTTGCAATAACATCTTGATATATTTGGCTTTGATTACGTAGTGTCAGGTTTATGCACAATTTATTGTATTTTAGAGAAATACTCTGTTCAAGTAATGGATTATATTTTGTAAGTAAAATCCAATAAATGAACGGCGTTCAACTATTGGAAATAGTGCAAATATTTGCAGACATCAATAATCTATATAATGATTCGTATAGTCAAACCAAAACAACTCAATTTTTTTTTAAATAATATTATGATACTAGCTTCATAATATTATTTAAAAAAAGTTGAACATAATTTGTAAAGGCTTTTGTTTATTTTTACGTCTTTTATTTTAGTATGAAACCGTTTACTGTTCAATTTTAGGATTCATGCCTAAAACTTGAACCAAACAATTATGTTCAAATTATATTCGTTCAACTTTTGGGTATCGGTTTTTAAGTTGAATGCTTAAGTAATTTTGTTTTTCAAATTTTCAATTCAAAGTTGATGTATCGAATAATCAAGGAACATCCCAGAACCTTAACGTTGCTCCGATTATTCAGGATTTATCACTGCAAGATGACTTGCTCGACAATGAAAAAGGTGTCCAAAGCCCTGACGTTGCATGTGAAAAAAGTCAATGTACGTCTGATCCAACTCCTGAAACTAATTAACCGGTCTGTATCAAAGTAATAAAATATAAAATTGAGGAGTCGCTGAAACTTCTTTAATCCAAAGTAGGCACAAAGCGAAAACAATTACAATCCAAAAAATCCAGCGAGAACAAGCAAAAGCAGAAAAGGATAAAACTATTAAAGTAAAGAAATCTTAGTAAAGAAAGTAAATACTAAGGTCAGTAAAGCTAAAGTTTGTGCTGCTGCAAAGGAAGAAACGACAGTTCAAAGTCAATTAACTAAAATCGAGAAACATAGAACTACTACTACTAGTTTAGATGTAAGTACCGAAGAGACTGAAATGATCAATGAAAATAACAAAAGTCTGATTATAGATAAGGATAACAACGTAAGTTTTGGATATAACGTTATGTTGTGGTTTGAGACTAATAAAAGAAATCGCTACTATGTCAGACAAGCCCTGAAAATTGACTGTGACAATGACTTCGTTAAAGTTAAATGTTTAAGGAAGGAGGCCAGCACATTTGACATATTTCAATGAGCCCTCCACTGCTGATTTAACAGAAGTATCGATATCAGCTGTCATAAATGTTTTACCGTCTCCCGAATTGGAAGAAGAGGATTGATTACATTTGAAAACACTCAGCCACAACACAACAACGATCTCAATTTGTGTGAATAACTTAACTACAGACCTATCTGTAGTTATTACATAGGCAATACATTTGTTTCACCCAGATTAGTGGTGTAAGTTTAATAACTTAGTTTTGCTTACAGCTGGCTCCTGCTATTGTTAAATTTATTAGTCAGGTCCAGCTATTGTTTAGTTTACTAGTGAGGTTGTGATTGTGATCTCAATTATTAGGTTCTAATTGTATTACTTCGTTGATTAATTCGGTAATTGGGTAAATAATATTGTACTTAAATAAAATTAGTACGGGTACTTCTTGAGACTGTGTAATATTGAGGTGTATTAATTAGTATAAATAATATTTTTTTGTTAAAAGTTGATTAGTTTATGTAACGAGTCAATTGATCTCGCAAAGACAAAAAAATATTAATAGCAAGAATGTGATTTTTTGAATATAAAGAGATAAAAGAATTTATTCGCTTTTGCTATGCTTTTTATTTAGAAATTGAAATATTAAATAAAATAGCATCCTATACCAATCTAAATGTTAGTTCAACTGTTGGGTTCTAAACGTTCATAATTAAGACACGTCGTTCAAGTATAGGGGTAAAACCACAAATTTTACACAAATAGTTATTTTATCAAAAAACCGGTAGCCTAGGGAATTATTTTCTTAAATTACTAAAATCTTGAGGATAATCTGGAATCATAAAAAATATCAGCAAGCGCCAATAGTTCGAAAAGGCCGAGAAAAAGGGATTCAAAGTTGCAAAAACCTCTTAATCGTTCATTTATTGGTGCCACTATCCTACATAGAAAAATTAAATTACCTATTATAAGTAGTTAATTTGGCGCGGCGACATACTTAATTACGTAATATTTGCGTTCATCGTTGGATTATGCCTGTAGTTTGTTATTATCCTGAAATAATAGTCGGTAGGAATGGCATTTTGCTAAATAAGACATCATAAATGCAAATATATTATAATGAATAATTATTAGCGGGACATAGCTACTACAGTCCAGCATAGATGTGATCTTGGTATTAATTAAAATTAAACTTATGATAATCTTACTAAACATACATTTGTGCATTGAGTACCTAGGTGAGTAAGTACCATATCCTAATAAAAACATTGTTATCATTTTAGTTACAGGCGCTGATTTTCTTAACTATTTCATGTTTATCCTATAAACATTCTGAGCAAGTTAAAAATGTAATATTAGATTGGATAAATAATTTTCATTTGGGATATTATATTAACAACTTTTTACAAAACTTACGATCAGGTAACTAGGTGTATGTATACGTAACATACTTAGTATAAAGTAAATATAACAACTCAGGGTATGACTAATACAAAATTATTTTCACAGATCCCGAATGGTATTTCTCCCTATCAATAACATTGACATGTTTATATATCATTGTGTGTTGTCTCTATATCTACGCAGCTTACAAAGTAAGTAAAATCCAAAATCAATGGGTGGATTTTCACAAAGAGAAAGTGTACTATATATGTATTGTCTTTGGTTTCCACAGAAGCGGAGTTGAGCGCAAATAAAATGTATTCACAGCTCTGCTAAGCCTACCTCTGCATCACTCATCTTCGCGCAGCTTCAATGAAAACATTCAACTGCTTCTGTGGAAACACAGACTCGTCATGTAGGGAGACCTCCTTAATTTGTTTATTATTGTTTTCAAAGCGGCCAATCCCTCAACTACTGTGAAATTTTCAAGTCTACCTTTTTCCATTCAAGAAATAGAGCCCACCGGTGAGCCATACAGCGAAAGCTTATGATTGGGGTTCGACCTTAAATAAAATGGGTTCCACTTGTCACCTTTTGGGATGTGCTTTGGCTATGTTCGAAACCCTTGAAGTACAGATTCGATTTGACGTGTAAATTAACTCATAACATATTTATCTATCGATGTCAAAATAGCGTTATATTCTATACATAGGTACCCAAAAAGCGTCTTAAGTCGTGAATATAACAACAATTTGTGGAATACAAATTACAATCTTAAAGATGTTTGTTTCTCAATCACGCAGAAACGGCTGAACGGATTTGAATCAAATTTGCCAAAAATACAAAGAGCAATACGGCTGTGTTTGTCTATGCACATATACCTACAGTTTATTAACTGGATCGAGATAAGATACTTTTTATCCCGGAAAATGTGGAACAGGAACCTGTGGGACTTTCAATTACAATTACGCAGGCGGAAGCTACTTTTCATCTGATAAAACATGACTATGGTGTCTTTGGATAAAATAAATAAGAGTGTCATTTATGATTTCTGTTTAGTGCTACAATATGCTCATGATTGCTTATATCCTGACGGAAGCAATGAGGCTCATCGGTCTGACGATTACAATAGCTTACTCTTTATTATTACTCCGAGAAAATACAATGGACATTGGACTTCTTATTGGGGCCAGCGTTGCAGGAGGATTCTTGCTATGTAAGTAATTGTTTACGTGAAAGAAGCTTGAAGCCCGCATTTAACTTTCCCAACAATTTTCGGACAGGAAATTAACTGATACCTTCAGAACCGTTTGTTGTAAGTATGTACCTACTTACGAATATGATTAATAATGAAAGTAAGACATACTTAAATAAAAAAAGCAAAAAAAAACCGATGCCATTAATACACATCAAGACTCGTCATCATCTAGTTCTAAAAACAGTCAATCGGGCGGTAACAGTGCAATACTATCGAGTTTTTAGAACTATCGATAGTATTGCACTATTGCCGCCTGATCATATGCTTGCCTGCATCTCAGTTTGTCCCTTAAGTCTTGCTTTGTTTAATCTTAGAGCCACGCGGTTACAAATCTGCAAACCAGTTATTATATATACACAGCAGACTTACCTAGTGCTTCATCGCCCAATATATTTTTTTAAATGTAACCACAAAACTTACCAAATAGCAGAGTCCATTCAAATGATGATTTATTTTCAGTGGGTATGTTCTACTTGTGGATATGTGTTATCAACTTGCCAATACTAATTAACGAAATGAACTTGGACGAACAAGCGGCCACCATAAATAAATTACGGCAACTTTTGGAAGTCAAAAATCAACGGGGTTTTATTGATAAGGATGTTTCACCATACATCAAGGAGCACGGTGACGTTGGTAACGTCTCACGAAATGCTTTTTCTATACAGGGACATCAGATAACATATTAGTACTTAGTAGACAGTGTGAGTTTTTATTTTAGCCAGATTTCGTATTTCGATACCTACCTAATCAATGTGCTAGAGTTTTTCAACAACATAAGTTTGCATTCCCATAAATACTTATTCATAGAATAGCAATAAATAAAGGTGTACTTAATACTTTGAACATAGTAAATCATTGGTACCAACTACTAAAGTGCCACAATTATGGTTAATGTAGGTAGGTTGCAAATATTTAGCTTTGCTTATCGAAACAAATAATAGTTTTAAAATAACAAACTTAGAACAGGCTTAGAAAACGGGAATAGCAACATTAATATTATAAATTCGACACGAATCCTGTCCGATGCCTTGACCGACTGTAATTGTTTTCTAGTAAAATTTTCTTTACATTTATAAATCTCACAATTTAATGATTAAAATACTAATTTAATAAACGATAATTGCAATTTCATCTTTCATATGTTTGATACCTTTAAGAACCTACTTATTTCGTTTGAAATTGTGGGTTTCCTACAATGCGAAGAGATGGCGCTGCCTTGTAGCCTGAAGCTGCGTACTCACCGGCCCAGCGATCGCGAACGAAGAATATTCAGGTAATCGCCTCGCTCCGGATCGCTGGCACACACCAAAGAACAGAGTCCAGATAAGGCGTAACGAAGACGCTGGCATTTGTTGGGCTAGTGTGTACGCAGCTTAAGAAATACTAGAAGCAATTAAGTGACGATAAAATGCGTAAGGTATTATATTAAATTGTGTGTGGCTATCGAGAACTGCTCCAATCCTTGTCACGTTCTAAGAGGAGGTTTATGGAGTCCGCCGTAGCGAAATTAAATACTTACTGTAATAGGCTAGTTGACCCTTTTTGGAAAAAGGTTTTAAATGGTTAATAAATGTTCTATTAGACCGAAAAAAATGTATTATATTTTTTTAAACCTAGAAAGCTACAAATCTTTAATTTTAAAATAGACTTTTCATGGACATACAAAAACGATGTCGGCCATTTTAGTCTATATATTATCTATGCTATGACGTGAACTGTGGTAAACAAAAACTCGTAAACACGTAGAAAATTACTTTTAACTGAGTTTATAATAAAAAAAAACATGATTTCTAATAAATACCACGAAAAATAAAGTAATTATTAGTAAGACTCCAGGAAAGTTGTGGATTAAAGTGCCGAAAGAAATTAACCTACGCAACTTTATTACACTTATTCATATGTTGTGTCAGTTTTATGTTTATTACTACATTGTAATACTAAATGCACTGTATTTACATAGATGCCTTGTCGTTTCTCTGCTCCGCAGAGCAGAAATCTGGGTTTAGTGCAACAAATTCACCAACCATCAATGCGTCAATTCTTGGCAGATTTGTGCTTTCTGCTTTCACAAAGCCGGCATCCATAACTAGTTTTGTCAAAAAAAACTAAGTTGTTGTTTTTTTCTTTCCTAAAGTTAAAAGTGTTTTAAGATAAAATAGTCAGACGAAAGAATCCACCTACAGTAACACGCGATTGACATTTAGTTGTTTACCACAAGAGACGTCAAAATCATGGCGGATGTGGCGAACAGCGTTTATAGTGTTTAAAAAATATAGACTAAAAAATATTTTTTAAAATTAAATTTCTACAGCAATCTTCTGCTTTTATGAAGTGAAATCGATATATTAAGGTTCCTTAGAGTAAATACTTTAAGAAATAAACATTTATTTAATACAATTCGACATGAGTAAACTAGCCTATTATCGATAAATATTTAGTGAAGCGAATCGGTGAATAGAATTGAATTTCTACACATAAATTTCGACTTGGTAATATAAGCCGCTGCCTCGCTCGCTCTTGAACCTAATGTTGACGTAGGTGAAACCTATGCCTCCGGCTGTCACGATCGGTTCCGCCTGGGTATGTTCACTTTCTCTAACGACGATTCCCTGTAAATTAATTAATAGGTTTAATTCGTCAACAGCCTTTTAATATACCCTTTGCTGCGGCACAAGCCTTCCCTATGGATGGAATAGGGAGATTGGGACATGCTAATGCTTACGAACTACAGATGCAGCCGGGACTAACGGGTCTTCAACGATCGCAGCCGATCGCCCTAACCACTTGCGCCATCGAGCTCCTCAAGGTTAGGTAGGTTTAATTAATATGCATTAAATAAATTTTAACAGACCAATCAATGATTTTTTATTGCATAAAATACTGAGATGATCATAAGTGACGAGTAGGTATTCCCATACTATTGTGAGCGAAAGGATAGTTTGAGCAACAGCTTTAATCTTTACAAAATTAAAAAAAATACTAATGTCGATGTCGTAGAGTTCGAGTTTTTATTTTGATTGTTGTAGGTATAGTACCTACAACAATCAAATAACAACTCGTTACAGCCAATTTGATTCCTGACCCACAATAAACTTATTTTCTCACAACAATTGCAGAACATAAGTAAAATTGCAACGCCCTTGCAGGGTGTCACATGTTTGTGCAACTTATGATTTATTGTTTTTGTACTGTCTGTGGTATGCAATAAAGAATAAATAAATAAAGAAACACTTAAGTTGATTTTCGCATAAATGTAAGTATCCCTGGAGACAAACTTGTTATTTTAGTTTATATTTAACGTGTAAAATTTTGCCGCCTCTGTAATATAACGTTGTGTACGAAACATTGTATGGAGTTTTGCCCATAGAATTAGGATTTCCGAGGAATTTCACTTAGTTAACTAAAAATTTTCAAAAAGTAGAAGAGTTTATGTTATATTTACGATTTCGAAAGTTATTTCTAAATTCAAACTACACTACCCATCGGCATATTGTAACTGATCGAGCTTCATTACTTTGCTCAGTAGTTAACTGCGTCTCCCATCCGTATTTAGATGGTGGAACGTAGGTTTCATATCCACATGTTTCGATAGCATCTAAGCTGTCCCGGAAGCCGCGATCTAATATAAAACATCGTTCGGTTGAAGAAAGCAATGTAATGGGTTTTCTCCATCATTCATTATGTTGCTCATGATGCTTTCAATGGTAGGTACTAATGTAATTAATCGTATTTTTGCAATTATGATGTCAACTAAAAGTGGAACTTTGGGGGCTTCCAGTGGTTTTTGGACAAGGATTTGGGAGAAGTCGCCATAGTAAATATTTTTCCAGATTATAAGACCTTTCCAATGACATCACATTGATTTCTATTGGTGCGTGTACCAAAATGCCCATTCTCCTTTCAAAGATCTTTGATTCACATTTTTATAGTTTCATTGTTCTTAGAAGGTCCTATCTGAAATTACGTATTCTCTTATGCTCTAAGTCTTATCCGTTTAAAAGAAAACTTATCTGTTTTGACATTTTTAAGCGAAATATCGGGAAAGTGGGCCAGGAATCAATTTGCTCCACAGTAAGAACATTGATTAGTTAATACGCGTTTTTTTTTCAAGCTTAAATTAAGTTCCTATAAGGCAAAGACATTAAAGTTTAAACTATAGTTAAAACACTTTGCTAGTAGATTGTAGGTTACCTATTGCAAAACTGTTTGTTGACCGCAATGAATAAGAAAAAGGTTCCCTCCCTGTTTAAAGGGGTCAACATTTCGTTAACGATGTCCATAACAAAATGTAAACTGTTAAGCAGAATAATAATTGAGAGAAACTTATTAAACGCATTATAAATGATTTACCTTAATGATTTTCTGTCCAGGATCTGAATAGAAAAATTCCTTCACTCTCTTCTTGAAAGGAATTGCCATGTACTCCATGCTCTTTTGTGAAATCAAGTGTTGATTGTAACTGGTCCCCAAAATAAGGTCCTTGGCATGGCATGTTGATATACATATAACAGCTATAAAACTCAAAAACAACAATGACTTCATTATAATTTAATTATATATGTGTGTTTTCTGTGAAATACGATATGAAATAGTGTTTGATTCTTTGAAGACAATTCTTAATTGTCAATATGTATTAATCTCCAGATGTTGTGATGAAAGTCAAAGTTCAAACGAACACATTGATAAAACATAATGAAGTTTAACTTCATAAACAAAAATACACTGGCTTGCAAAACTAAATCAAGCTTTTAAAATTGCTAAATAATTCTTTTTATGTACAAAAGATATACTTTCGAAATAAAGAGGACTAGAAAAAGAGTTTCATTTAAGAAAGAGTAAAGAGTTTAAGCTGATTATATTAGCTATAAAACGTTTTCTATTTTAAATCTATAGTTTAGAAAAAAATGAAATTATAAAAGTGTGGCAATTCTGGCATGATTTTCCAAACCTTAAGCTAAATTTGACAACAGTGTTTCTTTGTCATTAACATTTTTTTTAAAAGCTTTGTTTATAAATCTGACAATGAACACACATGAATTAGGTTGTAACATTTACTTGGAATTTAAAACATTTGCCATACATTAAAACATCAACAATATAACAGGTTTTATATTATAATAGGGGAGCCTAAGAGGGCATTTGGGGATTTACTCGAGCGCGGCAGATTAATATATGGGAGGATATAAGGTATCTAGTAGAGTACCTCTACCAAATCTGAGGTCTCCATGTAGTGCCGCGCACGTAGACCAGCCGGTCACAATAGTAAAAAAAAAATGTGTGCGTGTACTAGTGTACACACGTAAGAAGTGAAACTTCTTTATGGCCTTATTTTTTTCGAAAAATGATCTACATGCAACTTTCCAGAAATATATATATAGGCGTGCGCTAAGATTTTTCAAAAACTCACCCACTAAAGGGGTATAACTACACCTTACCTTACCTTGTGTGAAACACGAATATTTGCTGTCGATACCTTTTTTTTTAAAGTTGACAGAAGAAGCAATTGTTCGGATGAGGTAAATAGTGCTCTTCTAAAAAAAAGATGGCGCGTAACCAAAAAACGTGACGCGTAACCGAAAAAAATGTGACGGTAATTTTTTTTCCAACGCCGATAAAGAAGTTTCACTTCAAAAACTATAGGCGGAAATACTGGAGCGCGTCAGATTAAGGTATAGTGGTTTAATTACATGCTGAAAAGTGTGTATTTCAATGATCTGACGATTTGATCGTGACGTAAGGGAGTGGGAGGGTTGCAAAAAAAAAACATGTCTGGACATTTTCGAGCGAGGCTTAATTTTTTTAAATTTAAAGGTAAAAGTATAATTCAAGGATCATGGAAAACATATAATCTGCCGATTTGGACAAGCCGAAGTAACAAAAATCGTTAATAAAATGTTGCACGTGCAGCTGTAGCGAAGCATGTATTTCATACTACGCGCCTCTCTCTATTTCGCTCTTTCTTTATCTTCCACTCTCTCGCACCGTCCCCACATCACTTCCTGTTTACCATTACGCTTACACAACTGATCATAGCGCTCGTGAACCTCGTGGTATTATATGTACAACGCTCTGGTTTGTTTTATTTGAAATTTTGTGAGTTTGTTATTTACTATCACGAAGATGAGTGACAATATTATACAGTGTGTGTTTTGTGGACAAAATACATGTGAAAAGATTGTAAAATTTACATCGGTACAATTGTAAAGCTTACCAGAGACTGAAATGTAACACTTTTTTTGAAGTTATACTTCTTTAGGCGCGTTATGAAAAAATGATGAGAGTGAAATTTTAAGATGCGCGCGCATCACTGTAACACAAAAAATTAACAGCATGAAGTTGGTCGCTTTAGCGACCAACTTCATGCTGTTACTTTCGTGTTTACCGCACATTAAGAAAATCTAACAACAAAATAGAAATAGAATCTCTATTTAGTGGGTACTAACGACTGCATAGTGAAGGCCTATCAAAAGTATTTATTAATCCGGAACAACGGAACCAAAGCGCGATTCAGGAGACTACAGCGCCATCTATTGACCATTGGTGTAGTAGAACCAAAAACCACATCTTTATTTTTTGTAATAAAGTAACAGTTATAGGTATTCATATTTATAATATCAAAAGTATTTATTAATCTGGAACAACGGAACCAAAGCGCGATTCAGGAGACTACAGCGCCATCTCTTGACCATTGGTGTAGTAGAACCAAAAACCACATCTTTATTTTTTGTAATAAAGTAACAGTTATAGGTATTCATATTTATAATATTTATCCACATGTTTCTAGTTTGTATATTCGGAATACGTGTTTGAGTTACATACAAGTGCAAATCACATATGTTCTAATAAATTATATTCAGTAGCGATTTTAATTGAATATTTTGATTATTTATTTATTTTTTCAAATTAAAACTGAACTTGACTGTGTCCTTTTCCAGACTTTTTATTCATTTATTGTAATTAATTATTTACATGCAATTAAAAACTAATTTTAAACAATGCCAAATAAGGATAACTTCTCACGCGCCTACATAAGTACACGCACCCATTTTTTTTATTGTATTTTATTATATTTATCTTTTTTTTTAAATATCCAACATGTCTGTGAATACGTGAATAAAATTTTTCGCCAAATTTTCGCACGAACCGCTGAAGCAAATGAGCTGATTTTTTTACAATGAGTGTATCTTGGCCTAATTTAACCCTGATTAGATTTCAGCTTATTTTTATTTGCATGCTGTTCTTTATGAATTTTATTTATCACATTCAATGATTTGAAAAAAAAATACGGAGAAAAAATTCTTTAAACCGTCAGATTAAGAAAATCCCTCCGAATATTCGCCAGATTATGGATCAGCATGACATCAAGCTGAACCGCCTGTATGAAAATCTGACGCGCTCGAGTATTTCCAGATGGCGATTTTTTTTTGCATTTTCAAAAAGCCGTCACGAGCTTGCGTCGTGTCCGAATCGTCAGACTTTTGGATATGAGCTTCGTTTAGGCTCACTTAGCATCCCTTCCAAATATCTGACGCGCTCGAGTATTTTTTTTCCCCATTTTCAATCCATTCGTACGGCTAGTCCCACCATGCAAACCGGCAGATTAACATTCTTCCGTTATCAGAGACACATGGGGCATATACAATATCAATATCTGACGCGCTCGAGTATTTCCATGTGACTATTTTTTTACATTTTTGAAAGCTTCTAGACGCTTGTTCTACCGGTGAAAGGGTATGCATCATTTAACCTTTTTTTCTTTCTACCATCTGATCTTCAAAATTCAATAGCCCTCCACGACGCTCGAGTAAATCCCCATTTAGCATCGTGGGCTCCCCTACTATTAGGAGTATTTCAATATACTGATTTTATAATTTATTATTCTATTTAGTACAGTGAATTACTTATAAGAAGATAAATCGATAGGACTTGCAAACTTTATAACAAAATACTATCTGAAACCTGCATCACTTAACTCAGAGAAAGATCATTTCTTATATTTAATAAATGGTAGTCCTGAAAACGACTCAGTTTTTTATTAAAAACTACACAATCACTAAGGTTTCAAAGATACATGTACTTGGAGACATACGAGTAAGCGTGCTTACTCATGATGATACAAAGAAGATAATAAATCGTGGGTCCAGTTGTACCATGCGACATTAGTTTAAAAACAGCATATTTATTCTTTAAAGCAGACCAATTTGTTTTGAGTGTCAGATTTTTCATGAAAATAATGGTAGAAAAACAGAGTATCGATATTGATTATCCACTAAAATTTAATTAATTTACAATAAAATTTATGAAAATAGAAATTCCATTGAACCTATTTATCGTTAAAACACGAACATATTTAGCTATAGTAATAAATTAAAGGCCGGTTAATAATAAACGCTTTTATCTAGCGATATTTATCGAGCATATAGCACGAGTATCGGTCTGTATGGGCTAAGAATCCTTTGCCTTTCTTAATAAAATTATAAAAGACTGTAAGTTCTATTTTTTTTTCAATCAACTTCATTACAATTATTTTGATGGTTCATTTCACGTTTACATTTTGTTTGATTATTTTATTCCGACGACGGCTGCTGCATTGTTTAAATAGATTTAAATGTCCTATGCATTAAAAGTACAAGTTCGAATTTAATACAATACAATACAATACAAAACACTTTATTGAACACCACAGAAAAACATTACAATAAATACAGAGCCATTTAAATTAAGTGTTACAATGGGCGGCCTTATCGCTAAAAGCGATCTCTTCCAGACAACCTTTGGATGGAGAGGATTAGAAGGAAGTGGGAGAGACGGCGGCGTAAATTTTAATGTAATTTATTAATATATACATAAATATACACATACATTCTATATTCAGTGTCTGCCAAGGTTGTGTGTGTTTTAAAATCTGGCGCCCCGGGTCATTTACTATTTGCACCATAAAAATAATAAATAAAAAGAGCGAGTCTTACAGTAGTCGCGTTTGCTGTGTAACATTTGAAACCTCACCTTACATTATAAAAAAAAAACCTGCTACAAAAGGAATAAGCCATTTGAACATTGTTCTAAAATCAAATCAAATAGCGCGCGCTTTCGCGACTTCCTGTTACACACTTCCGTCCCATTTCACGAAATCACTCCCACAAATTGCAGGAAAGCGAGAGAAGTTACATATCAAAAACAAATTATTTATGAGCTTAGCCTCAGATGTCGAAGCACATCATTTGCTCTGGTCTTAAGCCAGTTCCGACAACTGGTGCAAATTAGTACTCTATCCAGTGCCGGATTTAGGGGAGGGCAACCGGGGCGAAAGCCCCGGGGCCTCCACAAACGTGGGGCCCCCACAATAGAGACTTCGGAAAAAAATCTTTCAAATTCCAACTAGTAAACATTTTTCCGGTTCCGTTCGTTAAGATCTCTTTTCAGATAATTCTTGTTTCCGTTTATATTTATATGTGTTTGTTCAATACTAAGGGAGTCTACAGCTTGGTTCACAATAAATTATTTATTGAAAAACTCGACTGAAAAAAAATTGTTTACTTTATTTGGAAAATAATTTGGGATGAGGGGGCCTCCGCTCCTCTGTTGCCCCGAGGCCTCTGGGCCTCTAAATCCGGCCCTGACTCTATCCACACGCCTTAGGCCGGGTTACCCATGAGCTTCTTTGGTTTCACAATTATCAATCGTCCGTCCATCCTTGTCTCTCCCATCCGATTGCGCCAGCACAAAATTGTTGAGTGAAATTGGGCGCTCAAAGTAAATAACAAGAGCACGCGGTTAATCTATCATGGCCATTCTACTCAATGTCAACTTGACAGTGGTACCGGAATTGCGTTGTCCGCAAATATATTTTACTGCGCCAAATATGTAAACTAACTTCTCCAATGTCTTAGGCATTGCTGTCAAGTTGACAGTTGAGTATAGCTACACACAGTTTTTCTCTGTTTGCTACGTGTGCGTACTCGATCCCTAGAGTCTGCATGTGTATGGAAACTACTTTATTACCTATTTCAGTAGGTAACATTTCGGTTATACAAAACAGAAAAAAAAAACTAGTCAGATTTCACGTCCTAAAGAAGAAATAGCTTTTTAATACCGATACCGGCAACGCAAAAATCAGTCAAATTGAATCTCAATGATTTTTCTCCACGAGACGCAAGTACAAAATCCGCAAACGAGACGATATTGATGTCGTAGCGTCGCATCATCAATAAGCACGCTAAGTGTATAGGTTATATACATATACTTTGATTTTGAAGTTAACTTTGCAACTATATATTTTTAAGGTACCTTTACCACTACCACCATTATCATACGACGTGTAGTAAATGCGAGTACTTCCACGCACGAGAAACCACAACATTAATAATTCGATAAGCTTTTCTTTTCAATTCACACGGAGCTGACTTGCATTGCTGCAAAACGAGGAGTTGTATCAATATCCATAGAGTCAGTGGTCACCTGGGAACGCGAATCAGAGTTTTCTGTGCTGTTCTGTATAGAGCTCATTGAGATTTTGTCGTCTTTTAAACTTCCGTTCGTATCAGCACCGTCTGCGTTTGTTTTTTGTTGGCCGTCAGTCATGTCTCCGCCACCGCCGCTTAAAGAATTCCATATAGCTTTAGAGGAATCTTTGAGAGTGACTTTCTTTTCAGCACTTGTTAAGCTTTTATCCTTGTTTTCTTTCGTCTTCTTGCCCAGTACAGGGAAAGAACTTAGCTTCGGTTTCGAGGTACGAGCAACTGCACCCCGTTGGATAGGGGTTGATTCCGACTCAGCCTCCTCCGTTATAGAAGTTAATATATCAGTGGAGTCTGTAGGAACCACTTGACCAGCTTGTATAGGAATGTCATCTACAAACAAACAAGTTTAATCATTTTTAATGAAGAATGATCGTCTCTGCTTTGAATGGACTAAGACAAAGATTTTACAATTCAAAACCTACTGAATTCTTAGTTACAATTTAGATTGGTAACTAGTTATAAACTATTTGTGATGCCAGCACTTCACATGGCTATTCGTATTTGCTATTTGTCATTTTGACAGCAGTTTGTCCTTTTAATACTCTATAGGGAGTGAAAAAGAGTGTTGTCAACTTTGCAAATAGCAAAAACAAAATATCACATGGTGATGTTCTGGCATCAAATAGTACTAGCGATGCGCAAAATACAATTATTGTAGATAAAGGATTACTTAATAGAAATATGGGAATCAATTACAGGTAGGTACGCAAATTAGAAGCCAGTATAAATTAACAGCTATTAATTGTAATTCGTAAATGAATACCGTGAGGCGTACCTTAATTCATATATAAAAAAGAGGAATTAATGAAAGTAGGTAACATCTATTGTTGTGGATAGCTTAATATAAGGGTTTTCACATTCATGGTAAGAACAAAACATTCTTTCGATCTGCAAGTCAAATGAATTGAAATGGGATCATATTTCGTTTCTGGTTATTATTGTAAACACCTACTTGGTAACATTTTGAAAAGGTTGTTAGTTGATAAGAATATAACAACATGTAGTGCCCCAACATCGAATATCTATTGTCACATCATATACGTGTAATGTCGGCACTTCACATGGCTATTCGTGTTTGAATTTGTAAACATGACATCAGTCTACCCTTTTCATTCCTTATAGAGCATGAGGCAGATTGTTGTCAAGTTTACAAGAAGCAAATATGAATAGCCAAGTGAAGTACCGGCGTAAAATTTCCTGACTGGCACAAGTGACGGTAATTTTATTATTAACAAAAATGAAGCATTATCTAAAATGTGTTACTACTTAGATGGAACATTGAAAGTCACTGCACGTGTCTTCATAAGTTTGACGCAGCGCATATTCGCTAATAGTCCTCTTTTAGCGATGAATTGTGATACAGTAATTCTATGTGAATATACTATAACTCTGGTTTCAAACGTGTTTTTAATGCTAAAAGTGTCACATGGCCTTAATTCATTGTGCTGTATAACTACCTCAAATTAAACAACTGCGGGAATAACAGAAGTACAGAAGTCTGTTGAATTACTTTCAGAGCTAATGGATTCGTCGTATGTTGAGCTATCGCTTTGAATACATTTCAAAGGTACTTTTTTGTTATCCCCATCAAATAATTTGAATAACCCATTCCAAAATGTGGATTCATGCGTGTCCTTAAAATAATCATCTCTGTTGTGTTGGTTATCTTTAATCCAACGACTATTATCGGTATATTGCGACTGTGAGCATTCATTAGGCAGCATGCAATAATTATGGTGTTCATCTGTATGTAAATTAACAACAAAATAATTTATCGTAACCCTGTGCTGTTGTATCATCGAGAAAATAATAATATTAAGATTATCTCTCTATGTGTGACTGAAAAGTCAGGCTGCTTATTAAAATCTCGTAGTAATAGACCAGTTGCAAGTACCGTTAAAGCTTTTTAATTGGTGAAATGTTTTTAAATTTTGATTAGTTATATTCGACTTAGGAAGAAGAACTGTATTTTTAATGCCGGTACTTCACTTGGCTATTCGTATTTGTTATTTGTAAACTTGACAACTATCTGTCTTTATCATCTATATATATAAAAATTAATCGTTCAAAATTATGTGTGCATCACTTCCGAACGACTGTACCAAAGGATCCATTCTTTCTCCATACAACTGTGACCAATTTTGTACCTCAAGTATTATCATGTATTTATTGTGTTCATTATTGCCAGGAAAAGGTTTACATGAAGAAAATTAAAAAGTCACGGAGAAAAATTAATGAAAGAAATATTTAAAAAAATAAACTTTGTTATTCCGCCATCTTTCGCAATTGAAAACTCTCGACACTTGTCACATCGCATGACATAGTGTCTATAAACATCTCCACGTCACGAAGTCTTCAACGAGAAACAAACAAATAGGTAGAATGAGCAAAAAAAGATTTTATTCAATAAAACATCTAACTAAGATTAAATGAGAAAAAACATCAGATTTTTTTGTTAAAATATTTACTAAGATTGAGAAGAAAAACAACTAATTTTTTATAATATTTGTTTATTAAGATTGTGTGAGAAAAATCATAAATCAGAATCTAGCTCTTCAATTCCGCTCATCTCTGCATTACCGCCGGAGTAGGAATAATCATGCACTATTATTAGGTCACATACGAACATGCATCCTTTAGTTAAACGAAAGTTTTAAATTGAGTTTCTGAACGCAACTAAAAGTGACATTTGGTTGACGGTTTAGGACTTACTAGGTTATCAACCATTCATAGCCAAAGCTCAATAAATGAATACAAATTTTAACCAATTTTAATTATCAATATTTGTTATTGTTTGTTTACAAATGTGTGGTTTTTATTCTAGAATTAGCAGTGCGAAGAAAGGGTTCCAAGATTTTTTGCAAACCGTACTTTTCAAGCGACATATGACAGTTGGAGGTCATTGGCTTTCCTTTTCTTATTTGAATCGCATTATAAATTTGCAAAGTTTCATGTTGAAGACGTAGTAACGTAGTGATATGGGCAGGCATTAGCTCAGCTTATTTGTTTGGAATTCACTTCAAATCATTGACATACTAAGATATTATTGATTTCTAAAAATTTATTTACTAATAATTTTATAGAAATCTAAAAAAAATGATAGAGATGTTGAAGTTGTTTTGGCAAGAAGACAGAAGAAATATGGAAGGGATTAACTATGTTTGGGGAATATTTGTCAAGACCTGGAAACCAATCTTAACCTCTTCTAAATTTTCTATAGTAAACTTCTACGATTAAGTGATCACACGGTCTACTTCCTCAGGGAACGTACGTTCCCTGAGGAAGTAGACGACGTTTCTAATTTTCCTTCGAAGATATTTTTTTTTACTGACTTTATTTTAGGTGAGAAAACTACATAGAAGGTCCGCCCGATAAATTATCACATACAATAAAATTATTGTTTGACATTTCGTCAAAATACCAATAACTACTTATTTCATTTCGTCCCTTACAGCACGAAAACCAAACTGCGTTCGAAGAGTATTTACGTGATGCAATCAACACTGAAGAAGATGCAGCTAATGGTGGTCGACGAGTCTGCTTCATTATGAACATGAGCAAGATAATGACTTAAATGTTCGTTGTTACGGTGGGCGGTGGGCCAGATCTAAATTGCCTCGCGGCTTATTATTCTAGGATACGATTGGTAGAACTCTGAAAACATTATTTCGCCGCTGATCATGTAAAATCAGATATTGGGGTAGCAATTGCGTCTTCAGAAAAAAGAGAAATTATTAGACTTACTTTATAGATAGATAGAATAAGGTAGTTTGGGGATGGAGTGATATTACTGTCTAAAGATTTCCCCCAAACAGTGACAGTTATGCCAAGATCAACTACTGCCAAGAAATAATCTCTTACTTGCCAGGCTTGCCTCTATTAATCAAATTTGTAGCACCATGTAATGAATTTGCAGCAGGCAATAAATATGAGTGTTACTACATTGCTGAACGATCAATCTACAGAACAATTTTCTAAACATTTGAAATTGATTGGTACGAAGTTCGAAGGGTTCAGCTACTTAGTGCTTTTTATGGAATGAAAAGGACAGGCTGATGTCAAGTTACAAATACAAAAGCCTTTATTGCTGATAATTTCATAATACACATCATTAACCTTCACTTATAATTCAGCGTGTCCTGCAGACACATAGGCCTCCTCCAGCCTTTTCCACCCCGATCTATCCCTTGCTAACTTCAGCCATAGCGGGCCAGCTACCCTTCTTATGTCATCTGACCATCTTTTCAGCTGTCTTCCACGTTTACGGTAAGTGTTCATTCTGGGGATCCATTCCGTGGTCTTCCTTGTCCACTTCCCTATTTCGTCTCTTGTGACGTGACCTGCCCACTTCCATTTGAGTTGCCTACTTTTTTGAATGACATCCTCAATTTTTGTGCGTTTTCTGATGTCGGTAGCTCTCTTCTTGTCACTCCTTCTGTATCCAAGAATACTTCTCTCCATGCCTCTCTGACACGTTCTTAATTTGTTTTGCAGTGCTTGTGTCATGGTCCAAGTCTGGCAACCATATGTTTGTATTGGTAAGATACATGTGTTAAAGAGTTTTCTTTTCACTGATATGGTGTAGTGGGCATTCTTCATGATATCTTTTAGAGACCAGTACCTTTTCCAAGCATTAACGATCCTTCTGTCGATTTCCTGTGCCATCTGGTCTTGAAATGATACAAGCTGTCCAAGATAAATGTACGATTTCACATACTCCAACTTTTCCTCATTCAGATAGATGTTGGTTTCTAGCCTGTTTGTCATGACTTTGGTTTTTGACCTGTTAATTGTCAACCCCACCTCTCTACTTTTTGTGGCAAGCTCTTGCATCATTAATTGCAACGATTCAGGGTTGTCAGTAATTAGCACTAAGTCGTTGGCGAACCTAAGGTGGTTTAGACTTTGGCCATTAATACTGATTCCTAAGTCATCCCAATCTATGGTTTTCATGACTTCTTCTAGGACCGCTGTAAACAACTTTGGCGAGAGGGGGTCTCCTTGTCTCACACCTTTTTGGATTGGAAAGCTTTCACCATATGTCTCCAGTTTTACCCGTGATGAGCTATTTTGGTATATGTTCCTGATTACCCGTATGTATTTAAGACCTACTCCTTGGTTTTTCAGGGCACTCCATATGTGTTCATGTTCCAAACAATCAAACGCCTTGTTGTAATCAACAAATGCCAAGTATAAAGCAAGACCATATTCTTGGCATTTTTCTATAACTTGCTTCAGTGTGTGCATATGGTCTGTTGTTGCAAATCCAGATCTGAACCCTGCCTGTTCTACTGGTTGGTGGTAGTCTAATGTTTTTGAAATACGATTTAGAATTATTTTTGAGAACACCTTATATACATTTGACATTAGACTGATTGGTCGGTAGTTTCCTACATCGTCTTTGTCTCCTTTTTTGTATAATAAGACAATGGTACTAACTGTCCATTGGACAGGAATACATTCTGATTCTAAAATTAGGTTGTAGATTTTAGACAACTTTTGAATGTTATCTGGTAATGTTATTTTCATGATTTCATTGGTAATGTAGTCTTGGCCTGGTGATTTGTCATTTTTCTGTGACATAACTGCATGAGCTACTTCACTTTCTAAAACTGGGAGGGTAGTTTCTTCCGTTTCTTCTGATAGGTTTATGTTGTTTTCTTTGTCATCAGTTGTGTATAATTTCCTGTAGAAGTCAGTTGCTATATTCAGTATATTTATTTCCATTTTGGACTCGGTTTTTTTGTTCTTGTTTATCAGTATAGGTATCCATGATTTTGATTCTCGGAGTTCCTTCAGTGCTTTCTTGATCCGACCTGTTTTAATTATGTGTTGGTTGATACATTCAGTTCTTTTCCTAAATCTGTCCTTCTTTATACTTTTGCTTATTTCTTTACTGATCCTGGTAATTTCCATAAGTAGTGTTTTATCTCTTTTGTTGCCTTTTAACATGTCTTTTCTGATCTGAATCAGTGATTTCGTGGTTGCACTCAATGTTTGATTTTTTGTAGTTTTAGGTTTTGTTGTTTTGTACATATTGTTTATTTCCTTGTTATATGTTTCTTGAATTGTGTTACTGGTTATTGGTCCACTAAAAACTGTTAAAGTTGGTTGTGCCGGCTCACAATGTTTTTGCTGTCTGAAATTCTTCCTATATTTTACTTCACGTGTACTTGATATTGTTGCTCTGACCATACGATGATTGGTATAGAAATTTAACTGAGAGATAACATTAATATTATGGAATACTTTAGGACGGTTACTCAAAATATGGTCGATTCCGTTGCGGTAAGAGCCGTCAGGTGATATCCATGTCCATTTCTTTGAAAGTTTTTTCATGAAGCAACTGTTCATAATCTTTAGTTTATGTTCTAGGGACAATGAAATCATCTTTTCACCATTGGGGCTCCTTATACCAGTTCCATGTTTTCCCATTATGGATTCTTTTCCTGGACGCTGCTTGCCAATTCTGCCATTAAAGTCACCCATAACTATCACATTCTTGCAACAAACATCTAGAGTTTCGTTCAAATTTCTGTAGAAGTCGTTTTTTAGTTCCTCGTTTGAAGCCTCTGTCGGTGCATAAATCTGAACGATGGACCAATTGTTGTTGGCGTCAGGTAATTTAATGTTCAATATTGCTATTCTCTCAGAAACACCTTTAAACTCTATAATATTCTTCCTCAGTTCTTTTTTTATCATAAAGCCAACCCCGTACTGTCCTTTAGATTCTCCTTTGTAGTAAAATATGTAGTCACTATGTTCTTCAATTGTGTCTCCCAATCTTCTTATTTCGCTAAGGCCCAAGATATCCCATCTAACGTCTTGCAGTGCGTTATCTAGTTCTTGAAGCCGTTCGTCAGTTCTTAGGGTTAATACATTTAGTGTTGCTATGTGTAGGTTGACATTTCGTTTAGGGGTTTGTCTATCGTTTAAGTTTTGTTTTGCAGAGAGTTGTCTTGTTTTAGGGTGCTGTTCCAGATATTGTTCTCGATATTGTTGTGCTGGAGGGTTGCGGTCATTTTCCCCCACGGAGACCGCTATCCGGCTTGGGGGGCGCTTCCGGTTATTGATGTGTGCACAATGTCATTAGTTGTTAAGGTTTGGAGTTGAATTAGTGCTTGGTCGCGTTGTAAATCCTAATGGGTTTGTTTTATTGATTTTTGTTCTTGTCTCGCCTCGTTTAGTGTTATCTTGCTGATTGGGCGAGTCTGTTGGTGTTCTCTTCCTCTTTTCATTTTCTTTGGCGGCTGGATTTTTGTCTTTCACTATTAACTTGTCATACCGTATGAAAGCTATTTTGCCCTTTTTTATTTCTTCTTGCTGCTTGACTTTTAGTTCTTTTCTGATATTAAGAATCTCTTTTGGGTAGTCTTCTGTTATGTATATGTTCTTAGGAAATCTTTTTTTGTTGCGAAGTAGTTCGAGTTTTCTCCATTCGAGCGTAAGTGTAAATAGTATAGGCTGCGTTTTATTACTGTCTTTTATTCCTAGTCTTTGTATTCTGCTTATTTCATATTTGTCCCAGTTGTCAAGTCCAGTATCTTTGTAAATATTATTGAGACATGTGATGAGGGATTCTACTAATTCCATATTATTTGTTTCCTTTTCTTGCAGGCCATGTAAAATCAGATTATTCTTTCTCACATCGCGTTCAAGGTTTGATACTTTTTTATTCAAAAACGCAACTTCATTTCTCAGATGTTGATTTTCCTCCACTAAAGGCTTCAATTTTTCGTCTATAGAGACGGATAACTGGGCAAAGCTTTCTGTAAGGGTTTTGGTTTGTTTTTGATATTCTCGTTGCATTTCATCCATTTTATCCAGTATAGCTTTGATTGTCGTATCCATGTCGAAGACGATCAATTGTATTTTAGTTTGGTAGGATTATTTTGAACTTTTTGGTAGATTATTGTTGATGGTAAATTTATGTTTTTTATATGGCCACACTTTTATGATGGCAATACAGGTAAGCTTATGTCATCTGTCACTAAATCGCTTGTGTCAACTGTCACCAAATGCCGGATGTTGATCAATGTGAATAGTCCGATCTGTGATTGTGTTACTTGTATAGCTATACGTATTTATATCGTCTTGAGTTCTATTATGCCACTATACGTTTATATTATTGTATTATCACTGTTTTTATTAAAAAACTGACACCTTTGCACTTATTTTATACTTTAAGATAAGTTTCGTTGTAAAAACACGGTATTTCAAGCAGATTTTTTTTAAAAAACTGGAGAGGTACAGAACAGCACTCGTCACTCAACGATGGCCGAACCGGAAGTCCGGTTCATGATGTCAAGTTAACAAATAGCAAACACGAATAGCCAAGTGAAGTGCAGACATAAAATATTTTATAACATCATTTGAATCAAGTTTTCCTTGGATTATTTATGATGTGAACCAAAGTCGGTTAACGTGACCTTGATTATGGTTCCGGTTTTTGGAAAAGTTTTATACATTTTCTGAAGAAATCTATTATTATTATTACTGTACATAGAACATTATCAGCCGGAAAGTTTGTATTGTTTGTTACTCTTTCATGCTAAAACTGCTGAACGGTTTTATGAATTTTGGCATATTGGTACATATTATCACCTTGATTGACACATAGATTCTAGTAGGTTTCTAAAAACTAACCTAAACTTGGGTGAAGTTGCCTTTCAATAAATTTAAGGTACGGTTTAGTTATTTCCACTGCTTTTCTTTTGTTATTACACAATGAAGTATTGTCAGTTTAGACTTCAAATAGCAGCTAACCTTGCTTTGAACAATTACGTAATAAGTGGAACTTACCAGGAAGCTTCTTGGTACGAAAAGACGCATTAGTAATCATAGACTTGGACATGGTCACAGTAGTAGTAGCTGGAGATAATGCAACACTGATACCCATGGGACCATCACATGGTTGTCCTGGAAAGGCAAACAAATTTTGAAACTTGTAGGTAATATTTTTAATTGTCATAGTTATATTTACATTTGAAATCCAAATGAATAACATGTACGCACCTGAAGAACTATTTTTCAAGGAGTTCATGACGGCACTAGTGACTAGCATTACATCTGGAAACAGTTCATACTGTGCTCTTTGGTCTATATCCTTAACAGCTTGTAATGCCAAAGTATAAAATTCATTAAACATAGCAAAGTAAGCTCCTTCTATCATTTCTAATAAAAAATTTGGTGTTACAGGAATTCTTGGTGTGGACTTTTTTGAATTAGATGTACCAATCTTTTTGTGAAATCCATGGGTCACTATTCTGTAATGAATAACACATATGTGAATACATTCACATTGCCATTTTAATCCACAATTATAAAACTGTTTACTATGCTTACCTGGAAGCAGCTATACAGAAATGTCTTAGTGCTAATTTTGGCAATAGACTCAATTGTCTATTATAAATAAAGAGAAGTGCTGACATTACTTTTAGGCGGTTTTGGGCATTGAGTACTTCCACTTGTGACATTGGGCCCCAGCTTACTAATTTAGTATTGCATTCTTCCCATCTACGTAAAGCATTCTCAGTCAGGAATTGTGGACCCAAAGATAGTGGCTGAAAGAAAAAAATAAAAACTTTTTTTTCATCTAAATTTTTTTTTTTGTAAACATAAATTACATATTTCATACCATTTTTCTGTGAATCAATAAAACAGTTAAGTTAATTTACTTTATGATTGTTAACACATAAAAAAAAAAAATTGGCTTCTTGAATATGCTTAAATTATTCTTATTATTTTTGTTTCGAAATACAAGTTACTGAAGTTACAATATAATTTCTATACAAAACATGAAACTTAAAATCCATTAATATAAAAAGAAGTTCATGTACCTCATGATATATGGAAGGCTGAGCCAAGGATGGCAAACGAAAAGAAATAACTTTAGGTTTACCAGCTTCATCAACTACTTCAAAATTGTACAGAGCTGCAACACATTTTAAACATTTATTAACAAGGAAGTTGTTACTATTTGCTTTGGTTGGGCTTCTGTTTGGCGGATACATTAATTATTAATTTTATTGATCATTTGATTACATTATTTAGTTACCACTGCATAAAATGAGCACCATCTAATAATATGTATACATAATAAACTGAAGTACACACTTATCATTAACAGTCCACCTGTAAAATATGCATGTCCTGCATGCGGAACTATCCCAAAGCTGACCCTGGACATATGAAGCAGGACATTGATCTAGATCAAATCCAGCTTGAGACTTAAATTGGTTTTATTCAAGTTAGAAAATATCTTTAACATTTATTTTTACAAATATTGTAACAAGACTGTATACCATATTAAAAAAACAAAAGCATTCCAAACCCAGACACACATGAGAAAATAGTGTACTTATAGAGTGCAATAATAAAAATTTAAAATAATACCTATTAGTAGTGTCTCAATACATCTGCAAATCTTTAAGTTTCCATGGGCAGCACAACTCAAATAATTGTAAATTAAGGTTGGCAGAAATTGTAGGGTGAATCTTTGTAATTCCACTTCTTTAGATCTGTAGAAACTAAATAACTGTGTGCATACATTTTCTAGCATCTGAAAGTATATATTATATTAGGTAGTAGCAAGTTTGGCTAGACTAAAAAAAATGTTATACTCCTCATATAATAAGCTACAGTAGCTTAGAAAAAAATATCTTATGTTCCACATCTCATGCAATACAAAGTCATCAAGAGAAACAATAGATTCAATGACTCATATCTTTAAAATTACATTACACTTAATGGCTTGTTTGCATAAATATTGTGAGTAGTATTACTTAGATCTTTAATCATATCCTTAATGAACAAAGACTACAATTTCTCACTTTATGGGTATAATGATAAGGACCATAAGTATACATTCTAAACTAATGTAACATAATTATTATGTTTAAAGAAAAAAAATAAACCTCATCATTTTGAGCTTCACTTTGTTTGCTGCAACAACTTGTGTCACAATCGTCTTCACTATAGAATAAATTAAACAATGCCGTTGAAATTTCATGATTATGTTCATGTTCAGCAGCAAAACTTTTTATTTCATTCTCTTGTAATGAGGCATATTCATTAAGCCATTCAGTAATTAGTTGTTTCCACTCTGCCATGTTTTGAAAATATTGTATGAATCTGTAAATGTTGTACACTGAAATATTAGTAATAAAACACAAGAATGAAACTACTAATCAAAGAAATAAATAGGAAATAATTTCAAGCATACAAATGATGTCACCCTAAATCCCAAGGACAGCTACCTAGCTTTTAGCCATAGAACTAATAAATATACATATCCATTGAGAGATAACAAAATGTGTGAGAACTGTCTTAGAAATATCTTTGAAAATACTCACATTCTTTAGCCTTTAATGACGCTATGCTTTTTCTGAGTTATAATTTTGATTAAATTATTTACAATTATTGTTCATGTACACGCATTTCGTTTAGTTTTTATTAAGGTTATTGTAATTTATCTTCATAAGTTCATAATAATACAATATTTTTTATATAATTTTTTTTTTATGTTTTTTTGGTTGATTTCACATGACAATCAAATAGAATAAAAAAAAATGTCAAATTCATGTGTTTTTTTTTGTTGAAGTTCTCCCGTTTTAGGGAATTCAAAGGGAACAATGCCCATACAGCCTATTCTTTAATTAAATTTATCTTCTTTTTATTTTTACATTAGAATGTCGGTGTGACGCATTCTAATGTTTCTTGGAGTGTTTGGCACAAAATGTATCGAGTTGGCTTTTTCGATAAGCTTCTGTGAGGTAGTCAACACTACAATAAAATTCTCACGTCTACTTGACCGGAATAGCGTATATTTTATTGATTCCGCTAATTCTTCAGTTACGCAGACAGTTGTTACACAAAACCACACCAATTTTATTTCTCAATATCCACTATGAACGAATTTAAGAATAATTAAAATAAGACGCCAACCGCACTCGATGAAATCCCGCCAAAAAAGCCTCATGTGTTTTTTTAATTATTCATGACTATGGATACACGTCCTTCAGTCATACATAAATACAAATCATGATCTTCTTTTTTACCCGGCTGCGCAATGCAAGAGCGCGAAGCGCGACGCGCAGACAGGGTTATGTGTTTAACAGTCTATATATGTATGTTTGTTCCTTTGTGGCACACTAGAGACCAAACGCCTGGACCGATTTTGATGATTTATACATCAATCGATTCGTCTCAATCATGGGAGTGCTACTAAAGATATGATAGTAATCAAAATTCAATATGGGCAAAATTAGACGCCATATTGTGACGAAGTAAAAAAAATAAGTTGACTAAATATGTCGAGTGGGGTATCACTGTCTAGAAAATCAAAAATCATATTTAGGTTCCTAACATCATTTTTCATTTTATATGATTGTTTAGGATCTACAACGCTTTAAAGTTGTATATTAACCACTTACGCTTTTAATTTCAATCTTACGTTTGTATGGATCTTTGTTACTCTTTCACCTTAAAAAATACTGAATGGATTTTGATGAAACTTAACAGTAATATAGCTCATATATGATAATTACATATATATAATAATTTATTTAATTATTGAGTGAATTGGCCAATATATAATAATAAGTGTCACATAAGACGGAAAAAAATCTCCCATCTGAGAGCCATTTTGGCCTGCACTGCAAAAACAATAAAAGTTACATGAATGTAATATAGAGTGAAAATGTATCTCTTGAATAGTTCTAAAAAAAAGTCCGTGACACTATATATCTATTTTTAATGTGTAAGTCATTACCGCTAAAATAGTGAATCAAAACTAAAATATTATTAGACATCTATTTCCAAAATGCACATTTTGTATTAACAAATCATTTTTTATCAAATCAAATACTTTTATCGCTTTTGATATTTAAAGACGATAAACTTTGCTTTTTACACTATGTCATTTCGACAAATATTTAAAAAGTTACAACGATGACAAAGTGATAGCGCGGTGTACTATGTAAAAGAAAAAATAAAAGGGGTATTCGCAGTATCTGATCCTATACGAAGTACTAACAATAAAACTGTGATACAGTTCCTTCTTATTAAATGATGAAAAAAAATATTATAATAATAGGTATTTATGATTATTGAATTTTAATGAAAAACTCAGAATTTTACTGTTTTTCATTTTTTTAAACGATATTACTCAATGTTACAAAAAAGGTTTACTTAATATAATGACAAATAACCCATTTTTCGCTAGTAAGTACATACTTATTGGAATCCCTGTATTTATTAATTAGCTCGCGATAATATTGGTTTTGTAATAATTCTGCAAAATTCAAAGTAAATAATGTAGATTTTTATAGGTAAATCACCCCTTTCATCACCCTACGCCTATAAGTATTGCGATGTTGTAGCTAAGAACCAAGTTCCCATCTACTTCTATATGGGAATTCATTGTATTCGGTTTAGCTATTAGGGCACGGAAGCGCAACAAACAAACTCACTTTCGCATCTATAATATTATATTATACTTACTAGTGATCCACCCGGGCATTGTACGGGCGAAATTTATTTATCGGGATAAAATATAGCCTATGTCACTCGGACAAAATGTATTTAAATAAAGAAAAATGTTATAATAAATAATGTAGCTACCTTATGTTGAATTAATATTTGAAACTGGTTCAGTAGTTTGACAGATTATTTGTTACAAACATACAAATCTTGCTTCTTTATAATATTAGTATAGATAGTTAGGATAAGTATTTAATTGATGAAAAAGATTTAAAAATAAAGTAGGTAATAGGTTTATTTGATTATATTTGTAAAAGTTACTTAGCATTTGTGCTTAACAGTGATACGTTATTCGGTATTTTTATAAACAAAAAAAAAATTGGAAAATAATTGCCATGATTGCACTACTGGGAGTACTCTTCATTCGAGCTTTACACTACCAATAAAAAAGGGTCGAACACAAAGTCTTTGACCTGTTAAATGTGAACGCTTTAAAAGAAAACTACAAAGAGAACTATAAATTGATAATAAATGAAATGAAATGAAATGAAATATGAAATGAAATATATTTTATTGGAACAAAAACAGTGAATACAATAAATGTGTACGATAATAATTGCATTAGTTATAAAAACTGTGTCGCAACTATTATCGCCCACCTCTGAGAGTACATTGGAGTTCCTTACATATAACAAAGTAACAATAAATATTATGAATGATTTAAATTTAATTTAACATGAGATGAGAAAATGAGATTGCTATGGTGCTCTACCTAACTTTATGAAAATTTTATTATGCGCCTTTAGTTTAATCAAATATTATAAACTTTGCTTTGGTGATTGCATAATTATTTAATTTACTGATCTAAGGCAATTGCCACCATTGTCCAAAACAACAGACGGGAATTACTGCTTTCTTCAACCTGCGACATAAACGTCATTGATTGGTATTGTATATAGGGTGATTAAAAACATTTGAAGTTAACTTCTGGCATCTACATATTGGGTTTCTGTGAATTATGTAGGTTCATCAAATTATGAGACTAGGGACTGACACTGAATTTGTGTATATCACAATCTTAGACCTCCGGCATTGACATGACAATGCAGCCACTGCCAATTTTAAATAGTCGACGAATAAAAGTAAATGAATTTTATATTTACTGCTAAACTATTAAAAAAAAACATAAACAAAAAATGACTTTTTGGTTAAGTGCTAGTTAGTTTACTATAAAATTTACATACATAAGAGATATTTATGTAACGACTTGATTTAACTTCACCCATTTTTGTGAAAAGTGAGGCCCATCTGTAGCCTTGACCCCGCTGGTAAAGTCTTTATATGTCTTAATAAATCAATCTTTTAGACCGACGCTGACGCCAGGTACTTAATAATTGCCCGCGATATTAATTCTCATACTGAAGTAACAAGACTACGGTATATACCGTCTTAAAATACTAACTAACTAAAAAGTGTGAAATAAAAAAGGTAAATTTAAAAAATCAAAAAACCCGACTGCTTAATTATACTTCAAATAAAAACTGAAAAGAGAAAAACAAGTCCAGTAGTCTATAATTCTGTTAATAAGGAACAAAGCTACTTTAACAGTCGGGACCCATTAGATATTCAAGAATACATAATATTTTTCAACAGTGGGTCCCGACTGTTAAAGTAGCTTTGTTCCTTATTAACAGAATTATAGACTACTGGACTTGTTTTTCTCTTTTCAGTTTTTATTTGAAGTATAATTAAGCAGTCGGGTTTTTTGATTTTTTAAATTTACCTTTTTTTTACATTATAATTTCGGTGTGTGTGACGCATTCTAATGTTTCTTGGAGTGTTCGGGAAGAAATCTATTAAATCGAGTTGGATTCCCCAAATTCTTCTTATATCAATACTTAGTTTCCCACAGATATTGAAACGAAGGTTATAAAAAATGGTAGTGTACTCAACACCTCAGAACAAGAACTGGGGTAGACCTTGGCAAGGTCTCAAGGGTGCACCTCATTACTTTAAAATTACCCGACACGATTTCAAAGGAAAATGATGCGATTTTGAATGAATATTATAGGTAAAATTATAGAATTTAAACGATAAAGGAACGCCCATGTTAATCATTGAAATGCATTTTATATTTTTTTGCTATCCGATTTTTTTATATTTAAATAGGTTTTATAGATATACCTAAATACGTGCTGCGTACTTTCCGTATTTATAAATTTCCTTTCGGACCTTTTTTTAAAGGTACTTTACAATATTAAAGTATGTACAGTAGATCGGTTTTTATCGTAGTTTATCGATATCTGCCGTATAATTGCCACGTAACGCGAAAGAAACGTCATTACGTCAATGTCAAACAAAATTGTTGCGGTTGTAGGTTCTGTCAAAAAAAGTAGTAATTTTGGATAAAAAGTTAGTTTTATACATTTATAAATTATCCTAATGGGTTCCTCCCATAGTACGGAAGTGCCTGGAGGCGGCTCTGATGGTTATCATATATTGCGGGTAAGCAGTAAAGTTATTCGGTTATTTCTAATATAGTATTCCACGAATATGTAAGACACGTCAATATTTTGTTTTACAGGTGCAGGACGGTTCCCCCGGTCAAAAAGCTAATCTTGAAGCATTTTTCGATTTTATAGTAGCTATTGAAAATACTAGATTAGACCAAGACAATGATACTCTAAAAGAGTTATTAAAAACGAATGTTGAAAAGACTATCAAAATGTTGATTTATAGTAGTAAGACTCAGTCGGTGCGAGAAGTTATGGTTACACCTAGTGCAAATTGGGGCGGGCAGGGTCTACTTGGTGTTAGCATCAGGTTTTGTTCCTTTGAAGGAGCAACTGAGAATGTGTGGCATGTTTTGGTAAGACACTTAATTTTTTTGAAATACTTCTTCATTATCATCCTTTTCACTAAATTACACATATTTTTATTCCAGGAAGTTCATCCTTCATCTCCAGCAGAATTGGCTGGCCTGAGACCATTTTCTGATTATATTATTGGAGCTGATTCAGTAATGCATGAAAGTGAAGATTTTTTCACTCTCATAGAAGCCCATGAGGGCAGATCCCTCAAACTGTATGTTTATAATGTAAATGATGATACTTGCCGTGAAGTGAATATCACACCAAATCATAAATGGGGTGGAGAGGGCAGTCTTGGCTGTGGTGTAGGCTATGGTTATTTACACAGGATCCCCATAAGAAGTGCCCATACTTCTTCACAGAAGACTTACACTGATAGCACCCCATTGGTGAGTGTGTGAATCTTTATAATAATTTAATTTAAAAATAAGTCATTTATTTTTTTATAATCATTTAATTTAAAAATAAGTCATTTGCTATATATTTGAATTATTTGATATTTCTTTCTTAAAGAATTCAACCTTAGGGGAAATCCTTCTTTATAATTATCTGAAATTTATTTGATAATATCAATACTTCTAATGCCCTGCTTAGAAATGTATAAGCTTTAAAACAGTTTAATGTATATTATTTTAAGCATTAATCTGCTTGATTTGTAAGTAATTTTTTTTACAAAAACAAATACCAAGTGTTTTTTTCCAGTAAAAGTTTCCTTAGATCCTCAAAGCATATTTTGGTTCTACACCCCTGTGTAATGAGGATCATTACTAGGTCAGCAAATCAACTCAAAATCAACAGTATAATGATCTAATAATCTTTTTAATGAATATACTTATTAATCACTGAAATCAGTTTATTCGTTGCAATTTTATAACTAATTTTATGGTAGTCAATATTTAATGGTGGCTGAAAAGTGTGACACCACTGAGCTTGATCTATCTGGTCGAACTTTTGTAGCTTCTTTACGCACACTCGCGCCTCTGTGCTAGAGCTCTGTGACTTCACAGTCATCATGCAACCAGCCAAAAATTCATTTAGTAATTTGGTCATAACTTCATTAACTTAATAGTAAAACAAAAATTTAACCACTATATTTTATGGAATCCTTAGCTCTATAAATCTGCAATTTCAACTTAAATCGTTAAGGATCCTCATTGCTTATTGGTTAATATAAATAAAGAGTGTTCAAGATTGATGTACCTCTCAAATTATAACATCTTTCTTACACATGTTGTTACAAATAAAAATTTTCATTCTTTCTTTAAACTTTACAAAATTACAATTTCTAAGCAAAATAAAGTTTTATTAATGTAATATTTGATATTTTTTCAGATGTCAGCACAAATGCCAAATTTTGAGCAAAATCTGGCGTCAGGTATTAGCAACTTAAATATTAACCAATATTCTCAAATGAATGTCCTTCAAACAGCATATACACCACCAGAGCCTATACAAGCACCACCACCATTCTTGACTGGTGTGCCTATGGTGAAGACAAGTAACTATGTTGCTCCTGAGACTGAGAAACTTCCAGAACCAGTCATTCCAGAGCAGCAGCCATTCATACAGCAACCTGTGACTCAAACTCAATCCATGGTGTCTAACATGGCAGCCTATTCTAGTAGTGAGTATATTGATTTGTCTGTATTATTTAAAAAGGGTACATTGTACATAAACTTTTATTATATCAAAATTTGAAATTATGGGAAGATGACTTACACAATAATTTTTAATCTATACAAACTTACTTCCTTTAAAAAAAAATCTAAATTAATATGCAATAACCATACCTAAACTACAAAAAAGGTATGTTTATAAGAGAAATTCTTATTATACATAAACTTCACTTGTTTCTGTCACACATAGCGTTCTGTACCATTCAACAAGGTGAACAAAGAAATAATTGAAATGAAGAATTGTTATGGTTGGGTTTGTTTTATAGGGACCCCTTTAGTTGTTGGCTATTTAATTTTATTATTTGCTGTTGGCTGCCATAGATATACACATGCAGTGCAGCAAATAAAAACTACATAAATCCTATTAATGTCCCCATCGCAGGGGCTCAGGCCATCCTCTATGTCCTCTATAGAGAGATATTAATAAGGTACAAATGACTGATCATTCAGCTGCTGGGACTAAATTCCGAATTCTGAAGCAATTCCGAATTTTAAATGTCACACTGCTAGATTTTGATGCCTAAATTAAATTATAAGTACTAAATATTTTTTATTTCAACTTTTGGGTAGAAGTTTTACATAACATAATTTTTGATTTTCTGACTCACAGTTTCAAGTTTTATGAGGTGAATTATTGAGTAAAATTTCATTATTTACAGATTTAGCTGAAGCAACTTTGACAAACTTAGGCAGCATACCATCAGTGTCCACAATGCAACCACCAGCACCACTACCAAGTCTGCCAGGCATTCCGATGAACCAGCCCCAGCCCTACATACCGATGATGCCCAACTACTCCCAAACGCAGGTTAACTCATCAACGACGTATTTACAAAGTGCACCACCAGTTCCAACATTCGATATGAGCAGTTTCACACCAGCGGCTCCTCTTCAACCGCCTGCGATGTCCACCGGGTTACCAGTACTGACTCCTGTCTCATTACCAGGAATGCCATCGATTACCGTTAGTGCTACTTTACCTGTTTCCACTATGAAAGAGATACATCAACAACAGTCACAACAGCAACAGGATTTATTATCGTGAAATGATATAACAATTATTGTTTGCCTTTTAATATTGTTAAGCAGATATTATCTTATTTACTTGATAATAATGTTACTTTATTTTAAATATTTGTTCTAATCATGTAAGAGCAAAAGCTCGTCAGGTTAGCACAAAATGTCGAAATTTTTTCAATCGATTTTTAACTTTTAATGCAACCACTAAGTTTGGAAATTATTTGGAAACCGTGGAAAGTGCTGCTGTGTAACCTGGAGCTGCTGCCTTTATACGATATTCGGAAGGTATCAGAAGCTGAAAATGATAAGTTTTGAATGTGCAATAAAATATTCCATTGTTGTATAACTTATGCTTGTGTATGTTATTTAATTTATTGACTTGCTCTCGCACTCAGTCGTCAATTAAATTTAATGTTTGTCAAAGACGTGACGTGACGCGATTTTTTAAATTGCTATCACAAAGAAATTGTATGATTCAACTTAAATTAAACTCAAATATTTATTGATATCACCGAGTGAGGTTGTTATTCATTTAAAATCATCCCTGTATTTGTGGATTATATTTGATTTTTTTTCATGTCTCTAATCGGCCTTCCTAAGTTATTATAAGTGTACATTTAACATGAAAAAGTAAATAAAAATCGTAAAATAATAAAAACTCTTGTTTATTTTGTAATACATATAAAATATTTGTTAATTATTTTTTTCAGGGTTGTAGTTCAAAGTAAAAATTAAATATGAAATATTTATTTATCCTTTTTTTCGGGGCTGTATTATACAGTTACTTATAACGAAGGTAAGGCTATTAGGGTTGTGAAATCCTTATCATCACCTAGTTCATATAAGTAAAATGTTTGGGGGGTTCCACTCATAAGATTTTTATTTCTGCCAAATAAATGTATGATTGAGAAGCTTGGTTACGTAGTTATAAGCCCGTTCTTTCTATGTGATTCGAAATAAATCAACTAACTAGGTCGCGCAAAGGGTGGGTGGCCAAAAATTATTGCAATTAAACTTGGTTCGGAATGTACTTTATTCGGTGAGGTCTAGCTTTTATTCATTTGGTCCTATCAATCGGAACCATAGGGAATGTGTGTGTCCCCACAAGTACCTAATTTGTGATGAGAATGAAATAGTGGAGCGAAGAAGTACAAAAATGAGAAAAGTGAACTGTTATTTATTAATGTTTATACAATAATTCAATACATGTACCGGGCAATCGGCAATAAATGTCAGTATAGTATTTTCATAATATTTACGTCTTATGTGTTTGCTATTCATTGAAATCAGCAAGGCAGGGCAGGCGGGGCTGTGGCTCAGCCCCTTCCCACGCCCAACAGAGCTAACAACAAAATTTCGACGGGTCATTAACCGGGGTTCCAGATTTGAAATCAGGGCCTCGCACACTTACGTTGTCTGCAGCCGCCGCGCCGCGCAAACGAAAAGTACAATAACTCGATTTTGGTCCATAACTTATATATTTTAACTTTAAGTTTTATTTTGAATTTGATTTTTATTTAGGGTACGGCCAGAGGTTGCCTGCTGCCACTATGACCACCCTGCTTAAACTACACTGTTTATTTCTCGCGCTTGTTTTCCGAGTCTGAGTCTGAATCTGAATCTGAATCTGAGTGCAATCTGGCCGTACCCTTAGGCCTAATTATTAAACTTCTAGACAGTTGCATACAAATATGTTGAAAAAAGACAGGTCCTCCTACTGTATAGATACTGAAAAACAAATCTTCACTTAGCATGGTAGGTATTATAATAAAAGTGTCAGAAGATGCATTGTAGGTCTCGTAGGTAAACAAAGGTTTGTTAAGTTTCAATCTTATTGCTGATGAAAGTATTTATTATTTCATGAACTATGTTTATATTTACATACAATAAGATGCCTTATTTTATTATGTACAATAGGAGAAGTTAGTGGTGGTGTACCAATTTAAGAGCACATTAATAAATATGTGAATGTTCCTCATTTAAAAACCTTGAAATTTTAATTACGATTAAGTAGTAATACAATTTTATTTATTATGTAAGTACAGTCCTAGTGGCTGGTGTTCTATATGATTAATAGAGGTGGCGCTATATCCTTAATAGTACAGAGATTCCACTTATTTGAGAAATCTACATGTAATAAGGGGTGACAACGGGTAAAGTAAACGAAATTTTATTTAGCCCGTCAGATTATCGAAAAATAAAGGACACGCAGTTTTTCTTTGGTCAATCAACCAAAAAATCAAAAGGTATAGCGCGTCAATGATTAGGAGTGGGGGTGCGTGGCTTCACTATTATGTATAAATTTTGTACCAAAACGTGATGTCATACGACATTTCAATTGGTTTGATAAGGAAAATAAAAAAGAAGTAAATAATAAAATTTTGTACCAAAACGTGATGTCATACGACATTGTATTTCAATTGGTTTTCTATATTAAGGTGAACAAAGAAAGAAATACGAATCCAATACTTTTAAATTTTAAACTAAAAATTAAATTTTATTATGATCTCACTCACTACCTATTATAAAAAATAAATTATTTTCTTACATACTTCTTACCTCTAAAATCTCTTAAACTACAATTACCATACGAAGAGAGGAAGAAGATGTGTCTTATGTCTCAAAGAAAACTATTTCATTATGGCATCGATTTTGGTTTGGATACGTAATAGGTAAGTGCTAGCTTAGAATTTTGTAGTACCAAAACATTGCCATTTTTATGTTTGAAAGTCTAGAAGGATAATCTAATCTCAAAATTTGTAGGCATTTCAATTCGTATGCGCATCAACGATCTAACATTGTTACATTGCAAAGTTTCTCCGTTGGAGGAGGACTCGAGTTTGACGGATGTTGTTGTAGGACGGCGGTTTCTCCGAGAGGCGTAGCGCGGGGTTGATGTCGGTGATTTCAAATATTAGTTTGGATTTTTGTAGCAACGAAGCATTGCCATTTAATGGTTTGAAATTCATAGAATGTTTAATCTAATATGAATGCATAGGCCTTTGAATTCAGATACACGTCGCGCATGACCGATCTAAAATTGCGAAGTGTTACCATTAAAGGTGGATTCGAGTTTGAGACTGATGTTGTGGTTGTATTCGTCGGGTGGCGGTTTCTCCGAGAGGCGTAGCGCGGGGTTGTCGTGGTGGTAGTCCAGCGAGTGCGCCAGGTCGCTGTAGAAAACACCGCCGCGCCGGCCATCTCGGAGAGACGGCGACGCCGGCTCGTGTCCAAGATGTCGGTGATTTCAAATGTTAGTTTAGATTTTTGTAGCAACGAAGCATTGCCATTTTAAGGTTTGAAATTCATAGAATGCTTAATCTAATCGCAATGCATAGGCCTTTGAATTCAGATACACGTTGCGCATCAACGATCTAAAATTGCGAAGTGTCACCATTGGAGGTGGATTCGGGTTTCAGATTGGTGTTGTGGTTGGATTCGTCGGGCCTCGGTTTCTCCGAGAGCCGTAACGCAGGGTTGTCGTGGTGGTAGTCCAGCGACTGCGCCAGGTCGCTGTAGAACACACCGCCGGCCATCTCGGAGAGGCGGCGGCGCCGGCGCGTGTCCTTGTCGTCTGCCTGCCCGGGCGGTCGCACACTCGAGCTTCGCCGCCTCTCCGATCCTAGTCGTGCTGACACGCGGAGTGCCTTCTGTAGAAAACAATTGACAACTAGATTTTAAAACTATAATCGTAATTAACCTCATTAAACTCCCCCTCTCCCCCTAAGGAGCCATAGATATGTCTATGGTAGCAACATACACAATAGTGTAGGTATATATTGTGCGACCGCAGGTCTTCGTTGGCCCTAAGGTGGTCTGGGCGCGGCATGCCAGCCGCGCGTCCTTGACGGGGTGGCCTATGCCGAATGGCAATTCGGCATAGGCCACCCCGTCTGGGGTTTACCTAGTACCCTAGAGCAATCCCCCATAGGCGCGTCGCCCGGTCCACTCGTTGGGCCGGGCCAGCTCGAGGACGCTCTGGTGTAGAGGCGCACGTAGGTGCGCCGATCCCAGAGCGCCCTCATAAGGGCCGAGGAGGGTACCGGTGGTTTTTAGTGGGTAGGACCGGCGTTTTTCCGCGCCGGGGAGTCCCACACACGCCGCGCGCCTGGCAAGTGCGCGGTATGGTGCGTAAATGCATTTTCCACCGTCAACAAAAAAAAAAGGTATATATTGTGTGTGCTCCTTACAAGGGCGTCACCAAGGGGAGCTTGCTACCCACACTCGGTTATTAATACAAAAAAAAGTCCTTCCACGATTGGGAATCGAACCCGGGAAGACCGCGTGGCATGTGAGCTTTTTACCACTGACTCACTGTTGCTTGTTTGATAAGGGTAGAAAATTTTCGTAACAATTTGAAATGTAATGCGACATGCTTAAGATGACGAAAATAAGATTCACTTGTAAACATTTCTTCCTGCAAACTCGAATGTGCTACCAATCCAAACTGAGTTAAGAGCTTAGATTAAAACAAAAAGGGTAGATACGGCACTAGCCTCACAAAAGTGATCCGCCTAAATTGTGGTCTACGACCCTAATCGCTTTAGTCACAACTTGACATGCAAACGACGTACATGTGAACGCCAAAAAGAAATATTGCCAATATTTTGTGTTTATATGATAAAGCAATGCCTAAGTGTGTTTTAAAAAGTGCTCAAATTGTTCAAGAACTAAAAATAAAACCCATGGCATCACTTTTCATTCGTAAGTACTATAAAATATATTATTTCATAAAAATTGCTGTTTGTTTTGAATCTTATTCGGTAGTGACGTCGAGTACTGGTCGTGTGATTGGTCGGTAGTGCAGTGACGCGGATCTCGCCGTCTCGTTCGCGCTGCCGTTGAAACTTAACGTGCTGTTTCGTTCGGTTCGGTACTGCAGTGACGCGGATCTCGCCGTCCGTTCGCGCTGCCGTGGGATCAGTTTTTGTTTGATGCAAGTAGGAGCGTACCGTATCTGCCCTTTTTGTTTTAATCTAAGGTTAGGAGAACTTTTACAAAACTGCGCCGCTGCCGTACTGATCGGCGCGTACTTAGGTAGATTTGTCTAGTATATATTGCATTTTACGGGTGATATTTCGATCTTATAAAATAATTATTAATGAACTAATTATAAAAATATATACATATTTCAGTAGTTCAATGATGGTAGATTAGTTTTATGAAAGTTTTTGATAGTAATTTTATTTAATTCAATATCAAAATACGAGGTAAACCTGCATAATTTTTTGGAAATACTTCCGGAGGTTAGATGTTTTTTTTGATAATTAATGAGATGGAAAATCAAAATTCTAATACATTACGTTACAACTAAAACATATTTCTGATGTCGGCGTAATTAATTTGATCTAATTTATTGAACACTATTTAGAGATTCAGGCGTTTAAAGTAAGTAGTGCATATTATCGTTTTTTCCGTAAACTAGCTGCGGTAGAACGATCAGTACAAAAAAAGGAAAATGGTATTTGCTAATATTCTAATTTAACTTACAATAAGAAGAATAAATCTACTGTTTCCTTCTTTTGGAAATATTCAAATCTTTTCTAAGAGGGTAAACGAAGCGCTCAAAAATTAGGATGTTTTGCAAAAAATGTGAAAGGGCTCTTAAGAGCACTACAAGTGTGAAGCCTCGTCTATCCACAATTCACACGTTTACACCCTTCATTTATGTATAAGAACTAGCTAGACCGTAACCAGAGGTGTATAAAGAATAGGACAGCGGTAAACACAGGGCCAGTGGGGCACAAGCAGGAGTGTATTTTAGACCCCCATCTCTAGATGGTGGCTTTTGCCGCCGATATTAAGGTATTCTAAAATCTGGCGTCCTACTTAAGATTTGCACACCCCGATTCTTAGATGGTGGCTTCTGCCGCCCGTATTAAAGTATTTTTAATTCTGGCGCCCCCACTTAACATTTGCACTCCCCGATCCCTAGCTGGTGGCTTCTGCCGTACAGAAATTGTATTTAAAGGTAGGACAGTGCCCCATCATGCCCCCTAGCAACGGTCTTGACTCCTTCTGTGGGGCAACAAAGTTATTTTGTACAAACTAGGTTGTTGAATACCAAAGATAAGCAACCCAATAAAAAAGGTAAATTTAAAAAATCAAAAAACCCGACTGCTTAATTATACTTCAAATAAAAACTGAAAAGAAAAAAAACAAGTCCAGTAGTCTATAATTCTGTTATAAGGAACAAAGCTACTTTAACAGTCGGGACCCATTAGATATTCAAGAATACATAATATTTTTCAACAGTGGGTCCCGACTGTTAAAGTAGCTTTGTTCCTTATTAACAGAATTATAGACTACTGGACTTGTTTTTTTCTTTTCAGTTTTTATTTGAAGTATAAAAGCAGTCGGGTTTTTTGATTTTTTAAATTTACCTTTTTTATTTCACACTTTTTAGTTAGTTAGTATTTTAAGACGGTATATACCGTAGTCTTGTGACTTCAGTATGGGAATTAATATCGCGGGAATTATTAAGTACCTGGCGTCGGTCTAAAAGATTGATTTATTAAGACATATAAAGACTTTACCAGCGGGGTCAAGGCTACAGATGGGCCTCAATTTTCGCAAAAATGTGTGAAGTTAAATCAAGTCGTTACATAAATATCTCTTATGTATGTAAATTTTATAGTAAACTAGCACTTACTCAAAAAGTCATCTTTTGTTTATGTTTTTTTTTAATAGTTTAGCAGTAAATATAAAATTCATTTACTTTTATTCGTCGACTATTTAAAATTGGCAGTGGCTGCATTGTCATGTCAATGCCGGACGTCTAAGATTGTGATATACACAAATTCAGTGTCAGTCCCTAGTCTCATAATTTGATAAACCTACATAATTCACAGAAACCCAATATGTAGATGCCAGAAGTTAACTTCAAATGTTTTTAATCACCCTATATACAATACCAATCAATGACGTTTATGTCGCAGGTTGAAGAAAGCAGTAATTCCCGTCTGTTGTTTTGGACAATGGTAGCAATTGCCTTAGATCACTAAATTAAATAATTATGCAATCACCAAAGCAAAGTTTATAATATTTGATTAAACTAAAGGCGCATAATAAAATTTTCATAAAGTTAGGTAGAGTACCATAGCAATCTCATTTATTATCAATTTATAGTTCTCTTTGTAGTTTTCTTTTAAAGCGTTCACATTTAACAGGTCAAAGACTTTGTGTTCGACCCTTTTTTATTGGTAGTGTAAAGCTCGAATGAAGAGTACTCCCAGTAGTGCAATCATGGCAATTATTTTCCAAATTTTTTTTTGTCAAAAAAAAATACCGAAAAACGTACCACTGTTAAGCACAAATGCTAAGTAACTTTTACAAATATAATCAAATAAACCTATTACTTACTTTATTTTTAAATCTTTTTCATCAATTAAATACTTATAACTATCTATACTAATATTATGAAGAAGCCAGATTTGTATGTTTGTAACAAATAATCTGTCAAACTACTGAACCGGTTTCAAATAATAATTCATCATATGGTAAATACATTTTGTCCGAGTGACATAGGCTATATTTTATCCCGATAAATAAATTTCGCCCGTATAATGCCCGGGTGGATCACTAGTAAGCATAATATAATATTATAGATGCGAAAGTGAATTTGTTTGTTGCGCTTCCGTGCCCTAATAGCTAAATCGAATATAATGAATTCCCATATAGAAGAAGAAGATAGGAACTTGGTTCTTAGCTACAACATCGCAATACTTATAGGCGTAGGGTGATGAAAGGGGTGATTTGCCTATAAAAATCTACATTATTTACTTTGAATTTTGCAGAATTATTACAAAACCAATATTATCGCGAGCTGATTAATAAATACAGGGATTCCAATAAGTATGTACTTACTAGCGAAAAATGGGTTATTTGTCATTATATTAAGTAAACCTTTTTTGTAACATTAAGTAATATCGTTAAAAAAAAGGAAAAACAGTAAAATTCTGAGTTTTTCATTAAAATTCAATAATCATAAATACCTATTATGTTAATATATTTTTCATCATTTAATAAGAAGGAACTGTATCACAGTTTTATTGTTAGTACTTCGTATAGGATGAGATACTGCGAATACCCCATTTTTTTTTCTTTTACATAGTACACCGCGCTATCACTTTGTCATCATTGAAACTTTTTAAATATTTGTCAAAATGACATAGTGTAAAAAGCAAAGTTTATCGTCTTTAAATATCAAAAGCGATAAAAGTATTTGTTTGGATAAAAAATGATTTGTTAATACAAAATGTGCATTTTGGAAATAGATATCAAATAATTTTTTAGTTTTGATTCACTATTATAGCGGTAATGACTTACACATTAAAAATAGATATATGGTGTCACGGACTTTTTTTAGAACTATTTAAAAGATACATTTTCACTCTACATTACATTCATGTAACTTTTATTGTCTTTGCAGTGCAGGCCAAAATGGCTCGCAGATGGGAGATTTTTTTCCGTCTTATGTGACACTTATTGTTATATATTGGCCAATTCACTCAATAACTACATAAATTATTATATATATGTAATTATCATATATGAGCTATATTACTGTTAAGTTTCATTAAAATCCATTCGGTATTTTTTAGGTGAAAGAGTAACAAAGATCCATACAAACGTAAGATTGAAATTAAAAGCGTAAGTGGTTAATATACAACTTTAAAGCGTTGTAGATCCTAAACAATCATATAAAATGAAAAATGGTGTTAGGAACCTAAATATGATTTTTGATTATCTAGACAGTGATACCCCACTCGACATATTTTGGCAACTTATTTTTTTTACTTCGTCACAATATGGCGCCTAATGTTGCCCATATTGAATTTTGATTACTATTATATCTTTAGTAGCACTCCCATGATTGAGACGAATCGATTGATGTATGAATCATCAAAATCGGTCCAGGCGTTTGGTCTCTAGTGTACCACAAAGGAACAAACATATATATATAGACTGTTAAACACATAACCCTGTCTGCGCGTCGCGCTTCGCGCTCTTGCATTGCGCAGCCGGGTAAAAAATAAATAAATAAACAAAAATATTATTTTATACTTCGACAATTGCGTATATTGTTATTTCTACATTGATAACATCTCATAATTGTGATTGAGCCGAGTGTTACCTTAATTTTATACGGCAGGGAGTTGAGTAAGCTAACGACGGGCGGTGACAGGAGGTCGATGGGCACTCGCACCGGGTGCGTGAAGCCGGTCGCCGCCGACACCAGCAGGCCCACGATCACGGTCGCGGAGCACCCTATACCTGAGTACCACAGGTAAGACACGCGGAACAACCAGAACACCGCTTCGTCGTGACGTGTTCTGTGAAATAAAAAAAGAAAAGTTAAAAAAATCCGACTGATATACATCGGCTCACCGAGAAACCTCCATGAGGCAATCATCAGTGTGGAGGCACTGGGGGCGTTTTTGGCGTAGCTGGGCTGGCTGGATTGACTCCGGCAACACACCCTCGACACACAAAACAGGCGCCATGAGGACGTAAAGTTGCGGAAGCACTCGTTGCAAAGAAGATATATTAAAAAGGACTGGAAAGGTGGAAGTTAAACAACTTTCTTAATCCCCCATCATTGGATGGTTTAGAATGCACGTTCAACCAAAACGACAACAAGTGCAGGCGGGACCTGCACTTGTAGTCGTTAGCACACACCAATTTGTAAATGGTATTTGCTTCCTATACCACCCGTAGGGAAGACTTCTACCCCAGCAGTGGCGAAATTAAGAGGCTGGTGACGATGATTTAATATTTTAATCATTTTTCAGTGGTAGGGGCAAGTGTGGGCGAAACTTATTAATTTTGGAAGTACTTAGATACCGCATACCTAGATATTAAAAAGGTGACGAAAGTTTGCTCCTCAGTGGCAATTCCGTGGTTCCTAAAGTGTCTTAGTAAATAGTTTTTTAAGCAATGTTTGTTTGAAATTCTCGTATTTTACAATATTTATATACCTAATTTAATGTCATGTACAATGTTGATAAAGTTTAACTTTAGTTACTTCGGTTATTTTTATTAGGTTATCATTGCCACAGTATGCCACAGTTTACAAATAATATCAGTTCAATTTTTTATTGACCAAATCTTAATAAATATTAACCCCATATTATACTTTCTTTTATTCCCGTGTACCTATATATTTTGGAATAATAATAAATTCCCAAAATCTCACAACAGGAGCTACTATTAAAAAAGTTCTTATGAATATGGTGTCTGATTCGATGTCGAGATAAAATTATTTTGGACAAAAATGATAAGTAAAAATACTTTTTTAAAAACAAGGTTTTTTAAAAACAATATAAAAGCTAAACAAAATTTTATGGTTTACATTTTATTTTTTTAAATTTTCATATTATAACTACCAAAACCTACTTAAATCTGGCGACAATCTTTTTTATTATATAAATTGTGTAAAAGATTTCAAGGAAAATTTTATTTCATTCGTTTTATAGCGCATTTAAATAAAAGCTTTTTTTTAAAGTTTCTTTATTATTACTTTTTTTTTTTTTTTTAGTTATCGATGGACATAATCGAGACTTTCAAAATATTCTCAGCTAGTCTTTCATTTGATACCCATATTGTAGGAAAGTATAAAAAAATTTAGTCTGCCATGTGTTTCAGTCCGCCATATTGGATTTAAGGTAATGACACTGTAGGAAGGCCAAAGGGTAACGCCATTTCTTGAGGATGGTGAGTAATGATTTCCTCCATCCGTTGTCTATATGTGGGGCATATAGATGTCGCCGCCACAACACTTTATTTTACAGTAAACGTTTACTGTAAAATAAGCTTGCCAAAAGCAAGCAAGCCCTTTCATTTGATACCCATATTGTAGAAGTGCATCAAAAATAACCAGTTTTGTATATTCCGCCATATTGGATTTAGAACGACGTCATACAGCTCACCATGCATTGTCAACTAAACTAAACGTGTGTAAACAAAATATCAGCTATAATTTTTATTATTTTTAAAGCATGTAACTGCTTGATGTTTAAATCTAAAGAAAATATAACTAGAAAAAATTCCACGCGGACCAGGCAGCAGACGGGACTCGAACCCGCACCCTTCGCAATCCGGGCGAATGCACTGACCAATTATGCTACCGCGGCCCTCACGGACCGCGTCGAAATTCTTTCTAGCTATTCTTAAGCTGCAAGGCAGCGCCATCTCTTCGCATTATAGGTAAACCCACAATGTCAAATGAATACTTTTACAAGTATTAAACATTTGAAAGAAGAAATAGCAATTATAGTTATAATTTTTATTATTTTTAACCCAGATAAGCCTGAAACTAAAATTTTCTGAAAATTTTGAAAAAAGTTACATTATTTAGTTTATTAGATCTTATGCAACATAAAAAAAATATGAAATAAAAAATTAAGTGTAAGGCTTTCAGGGAAACAGCCGTCCTATATGTAGGACAGTAGGATAATAAGAGGTAATAAAAGACCATTTATGACAAAACAGAATGTAATCAAAAAGTGTAGTTTATTAGATAACTATTGATTATATTACCCATTGTTATATGTAATTTACTATATTAACACTATTTATGAATGATATGTTTCAAAACACTTGACACACACTCCAACATCACATTTCTTGCAACGTGTCAAACATTTTTTGTGACATTGACGACAGTGTGTTTGCTTCGATTGAGGAATAACCAGATGATTCATTTGGTCTTTACGACTATCAGCATGTTCATGATGGGAGGGTCGGCTAGGCCCTCTTTTGGCATTTTTTCTGTTTGATTCAATCAAAGCAATTGCTACCCTTCTGCGAAAGCCAAGATGATCCAGTTTTCCATGATTTATTTTATATAACTGCCATGCATTATGTTCGGCAAGATCAATCATGTGTGTGAGCAACGGCATGTACCATTTCTTACCTCGTATACCAATTCGGTAATGTGAAATATTTTCATCAGACCGATCCATTCCTCCCATATATTTGTTATAGATGGACACCATATGTGGTTCTTCTATGACAATGTTTCTCTTTTCACTTTGTGAGAAGTGTTTGGCAGATTGTTTAGGATTTATTCCTACAGCATTAGAAGCAATACTGAATATATTATTGTCATGCCATTTAGCAATAATGAACGTGTTGTCATGTGTCGTTCTGTAATCGACAGCACCACGTTCCTTTTTTTTCAGTAACTTCGATGTAATCAGAGGACAACTAGATGTCCTGTTTTCTCGAACTGTCCCAGTGCAACGAAGGCCTTTCTTTGTTATCTCTTCCAGCAAGGGCGTCCCAGTAAAAAAAATATCAAAAACTACGTGGTAAGGAAGGTCGAAGCCACGTGAAATCAGCACATCGCAAAAAGTGAGAACAACGCTTGCACCCAGCCCCAATTCTTTATATATTGGATTGCACATAGTTGTAGCACCTTGGTATGGTTCCATCCATAAAACATACCCTAACCGTGTAGCACCAACCCAAGCTTTGAACCCGTACCTAATAGGTTTACCTTTTATGTGCTGTTTGCAGCCATGTCTACCATAGTAGGGGATCATGGCCTCATCTGCACTGTAATGCTCTTCAAGAGGAGAAAACTCTAAGAACTTTTTATTTAGAAGTGTAACTAGGGGGCGTACTTTTGTGTATTTGTCTTGCAAATCCAGATTATCATTGACATGAAGGTGGCGAAAAATAAAGTAAAATCTATCCCTAGTCATAGCCGAGCTGATCAATTCATTCTTTGTATCAGGGGAGTTTTCCCAATACATTCTTCTACGGGGGAGCCATGAATAACCACTAACCAACAATATGCCGATGAAACATTTCATATCTTCAGTGGTTGTCTCCAGGCAAATTCTTTTTGACAGCATATTTATTGCTCTCTGACACCAACAACGAAATAACATCTTCATCTAAGAAGTTTTCAAACCACTCAATTGGGCGCTTATCTTGGCAAGCGCCTTGAACATCTGGCCAATTCACGGGATTTTTTGCCAAGTCCCGTTTTCTCCATGCGTAGGTACGCCTACGTTTAGTTCGACCTGTAGAATCAGAAGGTTCTTCTTCTGTATCACTCACCATAATCTGCCCTTGAATCATTACTTTAGCCGGTTGCAGCAGAATGTTTCGTGGCAAATTATTCAAAGTGACATTATCTTCTTCACCCGAATCTTCGTCAGTGAGACAGGCAGGATCAACAGGAGGAGGTAGAATACATATCAGTCGTTCTCTATAATCTTCTTCATTATCAGAAACATTTTCTAAAGCATCTAAAATTTCATGCGCAGCTAACGGTCTGTAAAGAAAAAGTTGTATTATTGTACTAAAATCATGTATATTATCCTACTGTCCTATATATAGTACGCTAGTATTTGTAACAAGTTATACGTAATTTATTTATATTATTTTGCTAGAATATTTATTTAGTACAAAAGTTAAGGTTATCAACTAGATATTAACACAGAAAAAAACAACTCACGAGTAAGATATAACTTTTTATACATACCTGTCATTTGCCATGTCTGCAACGCACTTTTATTACACACTTATAAGGTAAAAGCTGTTAAAATAACTGTCTTTTTATTTTTTCTAATAAAGCTGACACGTTTCTTACTGCAAATCATAAGACTAAATAATCTTAGATAAAGAGGGTATTCTGATATTTTTTTTTATTTCTACTGTCCTAAATATAGGACAGTAGGCTAATCTGGGTTAAAGCATGTAACTGCTTGATGTTTAAATCTAAAGAAAATATAACTAGAAAAAATTCCACGCGGACCAGGCAGCAGACGGGACTCGAACCCGCACCCTTCGCAATCCGGGCGAATGCACTGACCAATTATGCTACCGCGGCCCTCACGGACCGCGTCGAAATTCTTTCTAGCTATTCTTAAGCTGCAAGGCAGCGCCATCTTGATGGTGGTTCTATTGATGACTGAACTTACGAACTTGTTCGCTCGCTCTGATGTTTCAATTTAACGAGCGAACTAAGTGGATTCAAGCGCTATACGAGCGATTAGGCCCATAGTCTATGTTACTCACGGAAAAATGCAGCAATGTATTGGTGAAAGAATTTTCCAATTGATCCAGTAGTTTTTGAGTTTATTCGTCAAAAACATACAAAAATCTTTTCTCTATAATATCAAGTAGGTTACACTACTGACCCGCCTTTAAAGAAGACTAAAGTTTTTGTTCTCAGTCATGTAGGTATTATACATATAAACCTTCCCATAGAGGCCCTATCTTTTGCTGAAAACTTCATTAAAATCTGTTGAGTAGTTTAAAACGACAGCGGGAACAACATTATTTTATACTATGTAATGAATAGTTGAGGAGCACGTTGGCGCAGGTGGTTAGCGCATTCGGCCTCTGTGATTGTGAAAGTAAAGCAACTTTCGTATTGGTCGGCATTGGATGGTTGACCAAAAACTTATTATCTTGACCTCCACCGTATCCAATCTGCACCGACCCGCGTGGTCATGGCCCAGTCTCCCTAGGGTATAGTATAGGATATTAATAGGCTGATGATGATGATAAAATATTAGTGTAGGCTGCACAACTTACGTAGGATCTATGCTGACGTGCACCGTGCCGTTGGAAGAGAAGCAGCCTTCCGTAGAGCCAGGTAGGCGAGGCGGGGATACCTGCGCCAGCTGGGCCCCGCCGCCGGCTACTAACACTAAAAGGAGGCCAAACACGCCGCCTACCACAGCACCCTGGATGAGGAGAAAATAGACTTTATAACAATTTAAGCTTGAAAAAAGATCTTAAATACTATTCCAGCAAAAAATACTGTTTTCGAAGTTAGAAACCATTACCTTTTCTGGCAATCGTCATGAAAAAAACTTAACTATGAATTATTATTTCGAAGGGATTCGGAGTCACTTTTTATTTGTAGTTCATTTACAATTCTTTGGACATTAAGGGTGGCACACAAGCGATGATGAAGCCCGCCTGATGGTAAGCGGCCACCACAGCCTATGGATAGACACTTGCGATACAATAAATATCGCTTCCCTATCCCGTGGAGCCCTGGAACCTTACTCACCGTCAGAAAACAACACCATCAAAAGGTAGTTTTATTTTATATGGTCTTCTGTAAGGTGGAGATTACTTCCCCAGACGGGCGCTCCAAATAGAGCCGTAAATCCGCTGTCCTACCTCTCTTAAAAAGATTGCAGATGCAGCCAGGGTCAACGTCCAGACATGCCTTTTGTAGTATGCAGTCATTGCGAAAAAGAAGCACTATTTATTATTGCAAGACAGTGCTTACGATTACATCACTGAATGAGCGCCACCATGGAGCTCATGATAAACAATAATGTTTTTTTTGGTTTATCAATTATTTATTTCAAAATGTCCTTAATGCATGGCGTATGTACTCGTGTTGGTATATTATTTGACATTCCGTGTTCTTGCGTAGATAAAGACTAACGATAGAATGTTTGTTGCGCAAATAAATTAATAAAACATAAGTACTAAGAGGAGTTAAACTTGTGGCATAACTTCATAATTCACATTGGTGCTTAAGCAATGATGTTTCTATGAGAACTGGGATACAGTTAAAAAAATAAGGATATTTTTATTTCTCAATTAAAAAAAACATAGTTTGAACACGTTTTCTTGAAAGAACGTTGATGTATATTATTAGATTTTTTTAATTTGCGATTTAATTAAGATTACCTAATCATCATCAGCCTATTAATGCTGGGGCACAGGCCTTCCCTATAGATGGAATAGGGAGATTGAGCCATGACCCACCACGCGGGCCTAGTGCGGCGGGTGCTGACGATTGCAGATGCAACCAGGACCAACGGCTTAACGTGCCTTCCGAAGCACGGAGGAACTCGAGATAGAAGATTTTTGGTCACCCATCCAATGACCGACCACGTAGTAGCATCGTAGCTGAACGCGCTAACCACCTGCGCCATCGAGCTCCTCAAGATTACCTACTCTATTTTAATTGTTGGTTATTTATTACCTTTATAAGAATTGTTAAAGCTAATCGTATGGGTAACGTCCAGTGAGTGAGGTGAATTCCAGGTAGAAGTAAAACTGTCAAGTTTTATGTTGTGATTAGAATAGCAATTTTCCGAAGAAATCACATAGATAACGGTTCATAGGAAAAAGTTTGGTCAAATGTGTAGTGTTTGGAAAAATAGTTGGTTTTCATACTTCCAATTTGTTTTTTTAACACTAATATTTAATACCTTCGGAAGTAGGTATGGTAGATTTCCAAAGGGTTACTTTATTTATTATACTTCCAATTTTAGGTTTATTTTATTACTAATTCATACTTCTTTCTGTCTGTTACTTTTTCATCGTCATCGATTTAGATGAAATTTGGTATACTTACAGGTAGTTTAAGGCCCGGGAAAGGACATAGGACGTTTTATAGTACAATTCAGGGTGAATCCTAGGATAAAAACTATCCTATGGATCTATTTCTTAGGTTTTCACGCACATCACTCATTAAATAAAACAAGTTTCTTTCGAAGGTAGCTCGACAAAGTAAATAAAAAAAAAAACATTATTGCGACGACGCAAAGGATGCGAAACATCAATAAATAAATAAAATCAGTGCATCTAACCCGTTGAAACTTGTTTTATTTAATCTCTAAAAAACAATCCCGTATTATCAAGGGGTGAAAAAGGGGGTGGAAGTTAGTATGGGAGATATTTTTTCCTCGCAGACGAAGTCGCGGGCACCGACTAGTATTTAATACTTTCAGCAATTAGGAGCTACCTGAAACTTGCACCATAGTAGCTTGCAAGTTTAAAACTCCTTACCACCAATCCACCTCGCGAGCACGGAGAGATTTTTAGGTCCTATGCGAATTGTTGGGTGCTTATGACTACAGGTACTGATACATTTATTTTACATAAAAAAATATTCGTTGAAAGAAATGCATCTTCTACATCAGCCTACTAATATCCCTAACCACCCAGTGACCACCACGCGGTCTCAGTGCCGTTGCATCCGGGACCAACGGCAAAAGAAATCGGTAAAACACTAAGAAATTGTTCGCAAGCGGATTGCTCACCTTAGCATTAGCCCACGGGAACAGCATGCCTAGCGAGAAGAGGCCCAGCGACACTCCGCCCGCCATGCCGTTGAATGACAACGCGAGCTGCAGCACCGGTCCGAGTCGCTCCACCGCAAACACCAGCGCGAACGACACGGCACCGCAGGCGAAACACACCCACCGAGCTATCTGCATGATGAATACATTATTCAAAGAAAGAGCGCAAAAAATATACGCGGTTGTGAAGTATTAAGAAGTAGGATGTTGTAGACACGAGCGAGATGTCACTAAAACCAGGGGCGTATTAATTCCACGAGGGCTATGGCCCGGGGCAGCAGAAGCCATATAAAGGCATTCGTTACTGACCTATATTTTGATTATTACATAATAATTTACGGTTAGCACATGCTAACCGTAAATGGCTCGGGGCGCCAGATTTTAAACGCTTCTAATTTCTCAACCGCTAATAGGTTCAGATAGCACTATACGAAAGTAGAGAACAAGAAAATTTTAAGAAGTGGTGCTATAAATTACAAGGCTTTTCATGCAGGTGTGTCCAAGAAGCAAACAGCAGGAGCCCCGGTGATTAAGTTTAAGGAAGTATGTATACCCTATTGAATATTTTCTCCGAACAAACTTAATATTAAAAATCATTTCATCACTAAAATCTTGGTTCCGCGTGGATGTCATTTCGTCAACAACTACGTAGATGACCAATAAGTGAACCATAAAATGTTTGTTTGCTTTTAAAGGTTAATAATACAAGTTGCAAAAACTCACTAAAGCTCCTTTATCCTCCGGTAGAGTTAAACCAAGAAGTCCAGTCGCCAAATCTTGACATGCCACTGCAGCTAACGAATTTAAAGCTGAGGCTACAGTTCTGTAAAAATATATTACAACGTAATATACCTATTAATGCCAATCAGATGCCAAACTCATATAAATCATGATAACACTGCATGAGAGCCATTAGTGATCTCAATTTACCAGTTTGGTGGTTCAAATTAAAACTGGTATCCTAACTGGACTTTACCAGTTAACTCTGGGTCCTGTGGGTATTGACTTCACGACGATGCTGTGGCAGTTCTCGGTGAGCTGGCAATGACTCCAGAATTATCTGAATATTAAATTTGAGACAGTGACTAACCCAAGACTGGCAGCAAATATGCCTGCTACGAAGAAGCCTGGAACACCTTTGGAAACGCCAAGCTCCCGCATCACGTATAGAGGGAGAAGACGGTCGGATCCGTTAGTTATTCCTGCCTGAAAATTGTAAGGTAATGTATTTAGTATAAATCCACATTTTTATTTATATGAAATGCCAGGTAGGGCCATGAACTCAGTGATCTTATAAATAGTTTGCATGAATGTAACCAATATGGTGTTTGAGCAAACGGTGTGAATTTTTGTACCTATTTACACGTACGATTCTTCGATACTCTTACATTTTACTTTCAAAGGTGTTCTTACCCAATGGTTACATAGGATCTCTATTACAGCCTACTATTCGTCTATCTGTCAGCTGTATCTCATGAGCCAGTTGATCACAGAATTGTGTTTTTTTCCGCCAATAGCAACAAAATTATAATAAAATTAAGTCTGGTACTGAGTCTGGTCTAAGGTAAGGTAAGGTAAGGTAAGGTAAGGTAAGGTAAGGTAAGGTATTATTTATTTATTTTATTTTGGTATCCGTTTGCTTTGTTATGAGCAAAACACTCGCTTTTGGACTACGAGCTGTTTTTCTCACTGTTTTATGTTAATAAAGTATATTTGTGTTTTTGTAAATTTTAATTGATGTTTTTGTTAAATTCTTTTAAGTTCAATATGATTTTTTGGATGAATTCTACATATGATTTGATTGTTGTTTCTTTTTTAATAATGTTATTTAATTCATAGGGGTTTAGGTTTTATTGTTTGTATAAGTTGTATATTGAAAAGTTTGTATATATTCATTTCTGTATGTGCTATATTTTGGACAGTTTTGTATTAGATGTTCTAGTGTTTGTTGGGTTGTATCGTCACAGGGACATTTGTCTGTTTCTTTTATTTTAAATCGATGTAGATACTGTAAATGGTACCCATGTCCTGTATATATTTGAGTAGTAATGAAGTTAGCAGTATTTTTTCTTTTATCATGTTTAATGTGCTTAAATCTGGGAATAGGTGTTTGGTGTGTTGTCCAGTGGTGCTTTGTAAATATCTTTTTCATCCCACCACCTCGGAAAGTGTAATTTTGCGCTTCGAAATCTGGCTGGAAAATTCTATTTTATTCGCTTGAGCGGCAAAGTAGATTTGAATTTAGAACATCACATATAATGAGTACTCAATATAATTGTAAATTCAAAACGTCATTAAACCTATTTAATGTAACCTCTATGGTGCCAAATTTATGATTAGAACTTTTTAAATTGTGAAAAAATTTAAATTTGGAACCTTCTTGGTTTCTTTGTTTTATTTGCGTGCTTCGCGCCATTCTAGTTTTTCACGTTTTATTGCTTAAATATTTTGTCATTATAAATTGTTTTCTTTTTCATTTTGTCATTTCCTCGCTGAGGTGGGATGAAAAGTTACGTATTGCACTCGAGTGGAAAGATTTTTCACCTTGTGCTCGTTTGTTTCCCTCGCTGACGCTCAGGATTCTAATTTAGAATCACTCGCTGCGCTCGTGATTCAACTTTAGAATCCTTCGCTTGCTCGGTCATCCAAATCGAGCACGCGGTTAAAAAGGAACTTTCCACTCTTGTATAATAAATAACTATTATTTGTTTCTAATTCTATTTCTTCTTTGGCCTGTTTTTTATGGAATGAAATTGGAAATTTATTGTATTCTGGTGTTTTCTCCATTGTTGCAGCTGCTTTTGCTGCTTCATCCGCCAACTCATTACCGTATATTCCGCAATGCGCCTTCACCCACGAGAAGTGGATTGTTCCAATTTGTCGTAGTTTATGTATATTTATGTGGGTTTCAGCGATTATCGTGTTCGTTGAGTTCCTATTTTTGAGTTCTTGGAGGGCGGAAAGGGAATCTGAGTAAATTTTACTTTGTTTTATTTTGTTTTGTACACACCATTCCGTTGCTTTTTGGACTGCGAATGCTTCGGCCTGGAACACCGTGCATGAGTCATGCAATTTGAGCTTATTTATTACTGTTTTATTTTGTGGTGTAATAACCACGAAGGCTGCACCTACTTTTCCATTATTTTTACTCCCATCAGTAAATATTTGGTATGTCTTTTTCTTTTAATTTGTTAATGTCATCATTTGTGGTGGTTATTTCAATTTCTATAGTGACTCGGTTTGCTGGGTGTAGAAGGTGCGATGGGTGTATTCGTTTTTGGTATGTAATATCGTCCGGTAGATATGGTGTTGTTTGTCTACTTTTGGTTTCTTCTATTTCTGCTATTTCTTTCAGTTTAAGGTCTAATGGAGTAAGCTGTGCTAGGGCTATTGCTGTTGTTGTAGGTAAGGTTCTAAATCCTCTTATAATCTTTATTGCAAATCTTCTTTGTAGTGATAGTAATTTTTTGTTGACTGTTTTATATTTCGTTGCTGTGGGTGCCCATACTTCGGCTGCGTAGGTTATTTTCGGTTGTATTACCATTTTGTATATTGTGTCTACGTTTTTTGATTGTACTCCCCAGGATGGTCTGATGTATATGTTTAGTTTTTTATTGATTTTCTCTGCTTTGTCTATTATATAATTTACGTGTTTAATAAATTTGAGGTTTTCATCTATTATTATTCCTAGGTATTTGATTTCGCTTACTGAGTTTATAATTTTATTATTTATTTTTATATTGACTTTTTTAGCTTTATTTGTGAAAATAATCAGTTGTGTTTTTTCGGGGGCTATCTCCAGTTTAGCATTGTTGCTCCAGTTTATGATTTTCTGAAGTGCGATTTGTACACTGTTTTCCAGACTCTTGACGTCCTTTGAGCTGGCTATTAGCAGCAGGTCGTCTGCGTAGGCCTGTACGAGACAGCCTTCCGGGTATTTTATATTAAGGACTTCGTCCATTATTATATTCCAGAAGATGGGTCCAAGGACTGAGCCTTGGACACATCATAAGGTTTGCGTTTTCATAGTTGATTCATCAGCATAATTGATTCTCACGGTTCTCTCGTTTAGGTAGCTATGAATCACTGTGTATATGTTTTTGGGGCATTGCAATTCTCTGAGGCGCTTTAGTAACAATGGCCACCAAGCGTGGTCAAAAGCGCCTTTGATATCGAGCGATATTGCTAGTACTTGTTTTTGTTTTTGTTTCTCGTTTTTAATATGGTTTATTGCATTTCGTAGGGCACTACTTGTGGATGATTGTGCTTTAAATCCAAATTGTTTCTCATTATTTAATTTGTTGCTGTCTGTGTGAAATATTAATCTACTTGCAATGAGTTTTTCTAGCAATTTTCCCATGACATCTATCAGCCCTATTGGGCGATAGGCGCTTACTCGCGTATAATCATCTTTGCTAGGTTTTGGGAGTGGTTTCACTATCGTTACTTTCCAGGTTGTTGGGAAATGTCCTATTGTCAAGCAGTGGTTCATTAGCTCAGTGGTCATGTCAGTATACTGCTCAATGAATTTTTGAATTATGTCAGATGTTAAGTTGTCTTGTCCGGGTGCTTTATTGTGTTTAAAAGTTTTGATACATTCTAGTATTTCGTCTGATGTGAATGGTTTATCATTTTTTGTTTTTAATTCATCATATTGATGTCTACGTAGTAATTTATGGTATGGGGTGTCCCGTGTAGGGTTGTCATTGGGGTAGAATTTTTCAAGTAAAGTTTCTGCGGTGTCTTTAGCGTCGTTCGTATACTTTCCATCTTCTTTTAATAGGGTACTAGGTGGTTGTCTTTTCGGTATGTTTTTGAGTAGTTTGTTAGTGATGGACCATACATTGTCCTTTCCCTACATTGTGCAAAATTCCCTAAAACTTTCTGTTGACGCCTTTTGTATTGCATTTACATATTCCTCTTTGGCTTGTTGTTTTTCCAGTATGATGTTGTTTAGGGGTTTCCCGCCTTTTTTGAGTTGTGTTAATCGGTGATGTATATGTATTACTTTCTTTTTTAGCTTTTCTAAGTCGTCGTTCCACCATATGGGTTTTTGTTTATTGCTTTTGTTTCTAGGTAATGTCTCGTCGCAGGTTTTACGGATTGTATCTATTATTCTTTCAACGAATTTGTCGGTTTTTTGTTTATTTAGTGTTGGTATGTTAGTTTCTTGTATTTTTGATGCAGTTATGTTTTCTTTAAGTTTATCTGTGAAGAGTGTCCAATCAGCTGTTTTAGTGCTATATTTATAGGTTGAATTACTTTTGTTTTTAATTACTTTGTGTCTATATAGGTTAAGGTTAAAAGTTATCGAATTATGTTCTGCTAATTTGCATGCCTCTGTGTCAATTTTACGACACTATGTCAGACGAGTGATTCAAAAATAGAGCTCCTGGTCCGAGTGAATTTTTTTCTAGTAAACTTTTACTAACCTATTACTTTTTTTTATTATTTTATTTATATTTTAGATTAGTATATTTATTTTATTAATATACTAGCTGACCCAGCGAACTTCGTACCGCCCTAAAAAAATAGGGGCTGTCCAGCGGACAAAATTGTGAATCTAAACCATTCTCAGATCCCCTTGAACACACACAAAAAATTTCATCAAAATCGGTCCAGTCGTTTAAGAGAAGTTCAGTGACATACACACTCACAGAAGAATTATATATATAAAGATTTTCTTTGGAATATGCAAATTTTAACTCCCTACCTATTACTGTTCATGAGTTACAATATATACCACCAATAGACAGATGGACAGCTGCATAGGGAGTTCCGTTGTTACTATATAACTCTAGGTATTGAATCCTTCAATGGTTACTTTAAATAAAAAAATACCTGAATGGGATCACAATCGGCGTAGTGAACAGCTAAAACAGCGCCAGTAATGAAATTTACTGAGTAGACTGCAGTCAATCCTATAGCAGAGACCCATAGAGCTACGCGTACTTGGCTTATCCTCTCCACTGAGAGGTATTTCTGGACGGAGGCCTGGTTGGCGCAAAACATACTGGTCCAATACATTGTTCCACCCACCACCACGGACCAAAATGAATGCCGCACTGTCGGATCTGGGTCCATGCTAAAACCAACATTTTACAAAGTTACAGCAAAAGTTTTTTACTTACATAAGGATTAATTTCTCTATGATTTTGATAATTTTAGCATACTCAATACTATATTGATTTAGATTGTAAATATTCTGCCCAGCCAGAAAACTGATTAAATTGTGTTGGAGGTAGTCCTCTTGGTGTATTTTTTTAAAATTATTTAAAAGTCTTTTTAATGTATTGACTCAAATAATATTTTCAAGATATGATAAATAATATAAAAATCAATAATAACGTTTTGTAAGACAATCTAGACGCGACGAACTTTCCGTTGTTGTTTTTGCTGAACATCAAGGTTGTTTACGAATTTGGCATAATATCATAACCTTCTCAACGTAATCACCGTAACTTAGTTTCATCTTTGCATGCATGTTTAGATTTCTCTTTAATAGAAAGCTACACATTCGTGTCTTATTTTTAGGTTTAACGTAATTCTCGTTGAACAGTTGAGCTTTGGTGATTTAGGTTAGTAACAGGGTAATTACTCAAAGAATTGTAGTCGGTTTGTACGCCGTGCATGGTCCCACACCGCGTCCAGTCCTCCGACCTCCGCGGCACCCAGTGCTAGTACCGCTGCTAAGGAGCCAATCAGAACTGCTGATTGGAAGGTGTCCGTCATTATTACAGCTTTCATGCCACCCTGTAACGTAATTGAACATCTACAAGATGCAGGTTGTATCGATGAATTTGGTTGTAAGGCGATAATCGCTTGCACTCTATTCACCAGCTAATTTAGATAGTTTGATTTTCTTCCGATTGCAGAGATATCAGCGCAAGTGCTCAAGCTATGCGGCGCCTAAAAGTGGCAGACAAAAACTTCTAGTACTTCTACTACAGTATATTCATAAAACAGGAAGTCCCTTCCTAGAGCATAATAATGAATGATCCTCCGCAAGAGTTATAAAAACTGGGACACTTAAATTATAGTAACGTTAAGTGCTTTTGCGAAGAATATACATAGAGGGGGTCTGTCTCATAAAAATCTTGATTTTTAAATGCTCCGATTCAACTTATTATCTCGATTATTCAATCCATATTAATACAATTGTAAATAAATACATATTTCCAACACTCACACTAATTAGCCTAGCCCCAAAGTAAGCACTATAAGGCTTGTGTTATGGGATGCTAGTGTAACGCATAGAATACATATACTGTACATATATAAATACATATTAAACATCCATGACTGGAGTACAAATGCTCGTATTCATCGCACAAACATCTGCCCCCACCGGGATTCGAACCCGGGACCTCTCGAGTCGGCGACACCATGAAACCCGTCGTACAAACCACTCGGCCACGAAGGTCGTATAATTTAGGTAGGTATTAAGTAAATTATGTATGGAATATACATAAATTTGGTCGAGTATCATAATTTACTGGATTCGCTCATCGGATACTTGCACATTCTGTAAAATCGATACACTTATTACCCAACCAACTCAGTGAAGCAACATTAATTCGTTTGAGAAGCTTCAATGTTTTGCTTAGTAAGGAATGTCGTCACTGTGTTTGCTTAAATTAGTAAGCTACCGATAGAAATATACTTACTTGCGAAGCATAAAAAATGCACACAACGTAGACCAATGATACCGCTAAGTACGTGTTTAAGCCGGTCACTGGAACAAAAATATTTACAATTTGCGTTATTACCGCATACACGATTAACGGTGGTTGCATTGATGAGAAGTAAATTATGTTTTCTCCGAAAATTAACTAACAAGAAATAACAACAAAGCTTAACCTTTCATTACCATTTTTATGTCGGATTGCATGACTTGAAAGAATGATACTTAGTTTGGTGTTCCACAATTTGGTGTTGCTAAAATGGAGCTAATAGTTAAAGTTTTAAAAGATTCAGTACCATTGTGTTGGATGCATAAAGAGATCATAATGTGAGAGATCCATTGAAACGAGAAACATTAATCATCTTGTGAACATGATGTCGTCAGTGAGTGGTGACTGGTGACAGTGCATCGTCTTCGGTGACCGTTTCGGAGTCAAGTTGCAACGGTCACTCACTTTACACCACCGTCGCGACCCATGATGCACGTGTCACATACTTTATGGAACATTAATGACGCCAAGTTTAGCAGTAAATCGCACTTAAATAAGTGATGTCACGCAATATAAGATTCTCTGGTTGCATACCAAAACTTATTATGAAACTATATAGATATGCTCGTTAGATGCTACACAACACAATTCAGACAATTTCATAAGAGGTCGAATCACGTTAATATAGCAACTTTTTGAATGTGAAGTGTATTACACTTAACACTTATTTTCACGTTCTATACAACGTAATATTCTTAGATTAATGATGTATTTAACAATATCATACATCTTTTGTGTACAATACCATTAAAGCCTCAATTAAAATGAACTCGGTATAGAGTTACAACCCAAAAACTACACGAACTTTAAGATTTTTTCCATTTATTTCTAATTGTCAGACAGAACTACTTTTTTATCCGTTAAGTTTAGTCATCCTAGTAGAACTGTGTGATCCGTTGCGTACCTTCTATTCTTCTTCCTAAATTTAACTATGATGCATTACGATTAAAACAGTATTTATGTGTTCTTTTGTGACATTATTCTGATTTGGCTTTTCTAGTCAACTTACAATAAAACGTTACTTTTGAAAGCTGCATTGACCTAAGCTTACAAGTTACGATGTATAGTTAGTTATATACCTAGTCCAGCCATAAGTTCTGTTACAAATGAAAATGTTGTTTTTAATGAAGGAATGTAATATTATTAAAATTTGTCCTCTAATAAATCCTTAATACTATAATACGCCTTTTTAAGTAATAATATATTTTTGAATTTTGAACAAAATATATTGAGGCTTTCAGCTTTTCTAATTTCAAGTGGTATTTTATTATACACAGGGGGTGCCATACAAAGTACACTATTATTCATAAGCCATGTCTTGTTAGATGGTAAACAGAGTCTGTTTTCGAATCTCCTCCTATTAAAAGTAACATATTAGTGTAAATTTGCTTTAACAAAAACAGCAATTTCATAAATGTATGTAAATACACAACAATGTCAAAAGTTTTAATTATATAAAATGCAGTTTACAGCTGTCAGTTTGCTTAATTTTTTATATAGCCCATATCTATTTTTTTTGAGCTTTAAATGCATATTCTTTGTCAACGAGTTCCCACAAAATATCACTCCATACCGTAACGTAGATACTACATTCGCATAATACGCTATTGATTGATGTATGGACCACATTGCCGAGCATGTATAGAACATAGGATAATTTACTGAGTTTAACACAAACAATCTCAATATGCGTTTTCCAGTTAAGGTTCAAAAAACAACTGTAATAACTAAAAACTTTATTAAGTCCACTTCCTTAAGGGTCGATTGATATGGGAGTTAGAACATGAGTTTTGTCTATATTCATTAATAAATTATTTCTTTTTAACCAGTCTACAATTTTGTCCAGTGTCATAATTATGTCACTTTGTAATAGAGATAAACTTTTATTTGAAAAAATTACAATGCTGACATCAGCAAACAGAATCATTGGTGAAGCTACTACTGTGGGAAAGTCGTTAATATATGATTAGAATAGTGGTGGCCCAAGAGCATATGCTCTAAACTCGTAATAAGAGTTGCTTGTTCTCTATTGTTTAGGTAGGACATTATTAAATCTATGGAGGAGTGGGTAGGGCGCCAGCGGGGCACCCTCACCTACCGCCTGGTGCAGGTACTGACCGGACATGGGTGCTTCGGTCACTACCTGCACCGAGTCGCCAGTCGGGAGGAGACGCCGCGGTGTCATCACTGCGCCTCTCCCGACGACACGGCCGAGCACACGTTGATCGTGTGCCCGGCCTGGCGAAGTGAGCGGCTCGGCGGAGGAGGCCTCACGCTGCCAAGTATGGTAAGAGCCATACTTGGTAGCGAGAGAGCCTGGAGGGTTGCCGCCTCCTTCTGCGAATCGGTGATGACGCAGAAGGAGGCAGCGGAGAGGGAGCGGAAGGAGGACGCTCTAGCCGCCCCTCTCCGGCGTAGACGGGTGGGCCGAAGAAGGCAGGCAGCGGTGACTGCCGGTCTTCTACGGCCCTAAGGTGGTCTGGGCGCGGCCTGACCAGCCGCGCGTCCTAGGTGCCGCTCCGGCATAGGCCACCACGTCTGGGGACTGCCTAGTACCCTAGCGCAGTCCCCCTGAGGCGCGTCGCCCGATCCACTCGTTGGGCCGGGCCTGCCCGGGGACGTGCTCGGAGATGTGGCGCACGCAGGTGCGTCGGCCCCGAGACCGCCCCCATATGGGCGTAGGAGGGTACCGGGGGGTTTTAGTGGAGTAGGATCAGTGTGGCCTTCGGCACTGGTCCTGCTTGAGTAGGGTTGGCACTGTTTCCCGTGCCGGCGAGTCCCACACACGCCGTGCGCCTAGTCAGCGTCACGGTATGGTGCGTAACTGCATTTCCCCTCGTCACAAAAAAAAGGACATTATTAAATCTAAGACTTGCCTCTAATGCCATAGGTAACTCATTAATTTAAATTTTAATATATTATGATCAAATTAGTCAAATGCTTTTGTAAGGTCCATATATAACGCGCTCACAGGAATGTTTTTGTCAACTTTAGTCATTATATTTCATCAACAAACCTATGTATATATTTATATTTATATGTTATAGCCATGTTTATATTTTTATTACTCCGGAACCCTGTCTGCTCGTTTGCCAGTATATTTTATTTTCAAAATAGCTATATAGACAATCACAGATCACTTTTTAATTTTTTTTCTTTCTCTGTTTTGTTTTTTAAACAAAAGTTTCACAATTTGTCAGGATAAACACCTAAGTAAGGCCGAATACAGAAAGAAAGCAGAAAGCCGATCAGCGCTTATCGGCGCTGATCCTTACTACATAAAGGAAGCCCATTAAAGCAGAGCAATCAAAATGTCGGACTCATCGGACGATGATTTGGTTTTGTTAGAAAATGTGTATTTAAAATGCGAAAAAAAGCTATACATCCTATAAATAGAGAAAGGAAACGTTTCGGAGAATACCAAAAATAATAAAAAAAAAAATATTTGATGATCAAAGATTTTATACATACACAAGAATGACTCAAGAAACATTTTATTACATTTTGGATTTAGTGAAAAACGCTTTGATGAAAAATTGGTGTAATTGGCATAAACAACCAATCGTTCTAGACGAAAGACTTGTTGACTTGTGACATTCGGTAAGTACGAAACAAATAATTTAAGCGCTTGGTTAATAAAAGATAAAGTAATTAGATTTATAAAAAGATTATAACTTAGATTGATTTAATCTAATGATAATAATTCAAATACAAATCAATTATTATTTGGACAACATAGATCATAATGACCAGCTGACCAGCGTGTGTCGGCATTTGTCGGCACTTATCGGCGCTGATCGGCGCTTATCGGCGTTGGTCCATAGAAAAAGGATCAGCGCCGATAAGCGCCGATAAGCACCGTTAAGCGCTGATCGGCTTTCGGCTTTCTTTCTGTATACGGCCTTAAACACATCAACCTTCGTGGTCGAGTAGTTTATACGCCGGGTTTCATGGTGATGCCGACTCGAGAGCTCCCGGGTTCGAATCCCGGTGGGGGCAGATGTTTGTGTGATGAATACGAGCATTTGTACTCCAGTCATGGATGTTTAATATGTATTTCTATATAAATATACTCACCGTTACCCTAGCATCCCATAACACAAGCCTCATAGTGCTTACTTTGGGGCTAGGGTAATTGGTGTGAGTGTTGGAAATATTTATTTATTATAGGGCATAGTACTGGAGATGTAGCATAGGATATATATTTTATAACATTAGTAGATATGTCATCATACCCGGTATTTTTAGTGTTTTTAGGTATCCCTATAATATAATTAATGCTAAATGGAGTAACAGGATTCATAAAAATAGTATTATGGATATTACATGTCAGTGGATTAAAACTATGTCTGATGTCCGGTGTAACAGGTTTAACTTGGTCAATGAACAAATTATTGAATGAATTAGCTATGTCATTTGGGTTATATAATATTACCATCAATATTCAATTGTTATATGTCATGTTTCGGTTTATTAAAATTATATTTATCCCAACTAGCTTTTGTTTTATTATTTGCTGTTTTGTATATTTAAGTCATTTTGTGATTTCCGAGTCAATTTTACTATTTAGTCGAGTCAATAAAGACATAAAACAGGCAAAACTTGGAAACCCGGTGGAACAGCTCCGATTTTGATATTTTTTTTCTAAAAAAATTGGTTTTTTTATATTATTCAAAATCAGAAACCTTTGGAAGGGGGGAAATATTTTTTTTTATTGTTTAAACAATATTTATGACATTTTTATAAAAAAATCACTGTTATTGCTTTTTTTGAAAAAAATATTATTATGTTAATGTTAGTATAAAAAATAGTTGTTAAAATGAGGCTTTTAATAATAATTTAATATTTAAACCATTAAAATACGATGTATTGGTCAATAACGCATTCGTAGCGTTGAGCACTTACGTTATATTTTAGTTACTTCATATATGTATATATTTTATAGATAGGTCCGACAAATGACTCCACCCCACCTGATGTTAAGTGAAGGTGAAGTCCAGAC